TGGATGGATGGATGGATGGTGGATGGATGGATGGTGGATGGATGGATGGATAGATGGATGATGGATGGGTGGGTGGATGGTGGGTGGATGGATGGATGATGGATGGATGACTGGATGGATGGATGACCAGTTGAAGGATGGAGGACTGGGTGAACAAGTGGAAGGATAAGTGAAAGGATGGTTGGATAGTTGAAAGAATGGATAGTTAGATAGCCAGATGGAAGGATGGATAACAAAATAATGAATGAGTAAATAGAAGGAAGGAAGGAAGGAAGGAAGGAAGGAAGGAGGAGAGGGATGGATGGATGATGGATGTGAGAATGATTTGTATCAAGGTTGACATGTGTTGGTCTCTGAAGAAGGCTCTAGCTTAGTGGTGGAGAGAGACATATACAACTAGCATGAGGGAACAAGTGTAAGCTGTGATGTGTCTGTCTCGTCCATTAAACTGGGACCTCCTTTGGGGACCACTAAGTGAGTGCTGAACAGATAAAACCTTGAAATAAGGTTTACTGGAGTTAGGAGAAGAAAAAGTAAATGTTTTAAAAGCATATTGCCAGGCAGTGGCTGGTCTCTGACTTTTCTTATTCCTTAGCATTATGAGTCCCTCCTGTGCGCAGCGTTGGGTCTCAGTGCAGGGGAAGGTGCCGGGTACCACTGGTTAAACAGGAAGGGAAAACGGTGGCAGCGGTCACCAGTTAGGGGTGGTCACGCACCACCCTCCCCCCCACCAGGCTCTGAATCCTGAGTCATCACAGCAGCCTGAGAATGCGTCTCAGCCCCTGCAGCCCAGCCCTGGGATGGGGAGGCGGGGGATAGGGGGCTACTATGCCCCCTGAGAATGTGCAGAAACCGAGGCTCCCAGGGGCAGCGCTGCCCGTCCCAGGCCACCTGGCCAGTGCGTGGAAGGGCCAGGGAGAGGCTGTGCATGCCCACTTTGCAGATGGCATGAGTGGCAGAGAGCCTGTGACTCCTGCCCCGTCACAGCAGGACGGCAAAGGCATAGGCCAGGCCTCACGGCCTTCTGAACCGAGGACCCCTCCCCCTGTTTGCCCAGCACCATCTGCAACACGGAGGAGCTGGATATGAGCCCCAAACCCATAGCTGGACGCCACATCCAGCCCTGTACCAAGTCCCAACACCAAGTTCGGGCCTGGCCCAGGGTGGACTCTCAGAGGCTGTTTATGAATGAGTGAATGAATGAATGAGTGAATGGCCATGTTGAGATGGCAGAGATGGCCTTCTAGGCAGAGGCGGGACGTTCGTACTTAGAATGGCTGAATCAGGACCCATGAGGAAACGGGGGCAGGTGCAAACCCGTCAGCTCTACTGGGCTTCTGACCACAGGAGACCTTGGCTATGAGGCCTGGGGCGTTCGGACGTTGTCCTGGGGAGGATTGGCCTGGCAGGAGGGAGTGACCCAAATAAAACCCCTCTAGATTCTGAGATTCCTTTCATTTCTCTGCTCCTTTCAACGGCAGCCCGTTTTGTCAGTGTCTGCCCACCTGGGACGTGCATCAGTCAATGAAAAGTCTGCACGTCAGCATCAATTTCAGTGCAGCTCATCACGCGTGGGGTTCCATGCGCTGGCAGGCTGGTCTGCTTGTGTCGGGCACCCCCAGTCCTATGGGCGTGGCTTACCAGGTCTGAAGGGCAGTGTATTTAAAATGCACTGTCCTGACTGGCTGAATCCCCAAATTCTTGACCAAAACACGAAAGGCACCACTTTAAGTGTTTCCATGGCTTGAAGGCCTTGAAAGGCCAGAATGAGTGTTCAGGCCCCAAGAATGCTGCTGGAATCTGGAGGCGTGTCACTTAATTGTGTGCTCGTCACACAGAGACCAGGGATCCGCCTGTGCCTGCGAGGGTGTGCCTGTGGTAGCGCCCTTCCCTGCCCGCTGGCCTCCCTCTGGCTGTCCTCACAAGGGCAGGAAGCCGGCGGTATTTCATTCTGCTGCTTTTTAGTCTGGCCCCAGCTTTTCCGAGATGTGTGCATCCGTGCCACATGGGCCATTTAGTGTGTACACTGTTCCCGTCCTCCTCTCAGGCCCCGAGTGCCTGCTGGGAGCAGGAGAGGGCGGTAGAATGAACCAGGTTCCCTCAGGCGCCACCGCAGCCGCTGAGCAGGGACCCCCTTCCACTCACTCGGCCCAGCGACCTGGGAGGGACAGGGTCCCTGTGACGGCTGAGCTGCCTGAGCCAGCTGGGGGTGATGGCCGCTGTTCCCATGGGGCCGCCCCTCTTCCCATTGTCCCACCATTCTTTCCCACGCCCCACCCTGCGGCAGGTCACCTTCCTGCCCCCGCAAACGGTGGGTGGGGTGGGTTTTGTGTAGCTCTTTGCTCGGTCCTCCTGGCTGGGGTCTTCGCCACTGCAGCCTGCAGGCGAAGCAAGGATGGAGAGGGAGAGCACACTGAGTGAGCACTTACTATACCAGGTCTTCTGAGCCCAGAAGCGGGCAGAGAAGGTGGGGTGTGGGGTGGGGAGACACCAGGGCAGCCTGGAGGGGACAGAGCAGGGAAGGCTGTCTCCTAGTCGTGTCCCGCATGACCTCAGTGTCCCTATTTGTAAAATGACACCAGCAGGCCCTTCCACTCTTGACAGCCTGGGGACATTCTGTGCGTTTCCCCTCCCCCAGCGCCCGTTGGGTGACATGCAGCCTGACAGCCTTGGCAGATGGAGGACGGAAAACGGCGTTGCTTAAAAGGCAGACGCCTGCACCACTGAAATTACGGCCCAGAGTTTGTCCGCCAAATTCTGCTGACGCTGCGGCATTCGATGCTCAGCTTCTGCGTTTGATACGTGTGTCCCGGCATCTGGAATGATGGGGAGATAAAGGGTGCCCCCTCCTTCCCCTGCCAACCCCCAGCCGTTCCATCCATTCATTCATTCATCTCGCTCCCGTCATTCACTCAGCAGCCATCCCTCAGCACCTTTTTGTGGCCAGGTGGGTTCAAGGATACCCGGGTCAGCACCTGCCCCTCAGCCCCTGCCCTGAATGACCTTCGCTCTGTCCTGTGTCTTCCCACCTCCACACCATCGCCCAGGCCATTCCCTCTACCTGGCCACCCTTTCCCTTTTCCCTTGGCTTGCTGGCACTTGTCTTTCAAGGTACAGCTGGGAGGTCACTTCCTATAGGAACTGCTCCCCAATTGCCCGCCTTCACGAGCTCGTTGGCATTCCCGTCTCTGCTCGCACAGATCCTTAGGTTTCCAGATGTCCTGGCTGTGTGTGCAGTTGCAGGCCACCTTTCTCCTTCCCCCGCTAGGCTGAGAGCTCCCTGGGATCAGAGGCCAATGTTCACTTGGCTCAGACTCCTCACAGCTCAGCACAGGCTGATAAATAAGTGCAGGAATGGGTGATGGAGGGGGACTACAGAGAAGAGATATAGCTGTGAATGGAGGGATGATGGATGGGTGGAGGGATGATAGATGGATAATGGATGAATGGATGGATGGATGGATTATAGATGAGTGGATGGGTGGGTAAGTTAATGAAGGATGGGTGGATGAGTGGATGGCTGAATGGATTGATGAATGGATGGATGATGAGTGGATCGATGGATAAATGGATGGATGCACTGGTGCTTGGTACGACCTCAGAAAGGAAAACAGGCACACAAACCCTCTGCTACTCTGCTTGGAACTCATGTTGGCTCCTCTATTTGAGGACAGTCTATCTCCTTTGGAATTTTCCAGTGACAGCTGAACCTGACTCTGGGTAAGATACTTCTGAGAGTATGCATCAAAAAGTCTTCACACAACACGTGGTGTGCAGGTTGCCCAGAGCAGGGGCTCCAGGAGAGAGTCCAGAACAGCTTCGATGTCCTCATCCCAGGTGCCCATCTTCCTGGAGGCTTGGACACCTGGTCCCTGCCAGGACCACAGGGCACAGCAGAGGCCTGCCAGGTCCAGTTCATCAGCATATCCCTTCCGGGAGGCTATTCGCAGCAGGCTGGTTCAGCCCTGGAAGCCACTGTGACTTCCGGGAGCTGTGCTCCCCTGGGTGGGCCCTGCTCTATCTGTAGGAGCCCATTTGGGCTGTTTGCTGATATGTAAGCTGGGGTTGGCTTGGATGCTGAGTGGGGTTCTTCCCACTTTGGCACCACCCCCAGGCTTAAATCTGAGTCCAGTCGAGTAGCCTCCAAGGCTAGTGACCACCAGCTAGCAGGTTCAGGGGGGGTCAAATGACCATGACAGAGGAGTCACCTGGGCACCTGGCCGGTTCGGTGCCCACTCACCTTTCTCCAAAATCCACTCAACAGATTTTTCGTAAGCACCTACTACCCCACGCTGCCCTGGACCTACCTCTGGCCCCCCCTACACCAGACCCCCAGGGAGCTGTCCCCAAATGCAAACCCAGCTATGTCCTGCCCTAGGTCAAGTCCATCAGGGTGGCCGTGACGCCCGGCTGGCCCTCCTGACCCGTGTCCTCTAGTCTGTTCCCAGCTACCACTCCACACTTCTTACTCTTGACCGATACTCGTCCCTTATGGGTCCCCTGAAGTGCCGAGCTGTGCCTGCACCTGGGCCTGGATAGAGCCCCGTGAAGCTGGCTTTCTTGGGGCAAAGCTAACCGTTTACTTCACAGACTAGGACCAGGGCCCAAGCACAACGGTGACAACAGGCCTGTCATTATCAGACGATGCAGACAGGGCGCGCTGCTGGGAGGCTTTGCTGGTGGGAGGTGTAGACCAGGCACACGTACCCTTGTTTGGGGACTTGTCTGGGAGCTGGCTGATCCTAAGAGCAGCGCTGCCCCTTTTCTTCTGGACCAGGTAACCTGGGCTCCCAGCTGGTGGAATATAAGGAAGAAATGTACATCACGTCAGACTGTGGGCACACCTGGCGGCAGGTAAGGTGGCAGAGAGGGGCCTGGCACCCACCCTGTGCCCATTCTGCCGAGACTGGTGGGAGACGTGTCCGATCAGTGACCCCTGCCCCTCCCAGAGCCGTCTTGAGTCACGTTTCTTCATCCTCCCAGCCTGAGTGGCTGGACTCACAGCTCCCTTTAGCAGACGTTACATCGCCGTCTGAACAGCGAGGCTGGGCTGGGCCGGCCCAATCCACTGGCCGTTCTGATGGCCGCTGCTGGGGGATTCCAGACCTCACGCACCTCCACACGGTCAGACAGGGTAGTTACCGTGAATGTGGAAGCAGAGGGCGAACACGCCAGGCACAGGGTGGAGGTGCCGCCCGTAGGAAGCACACGGGGACTCGGAATACTTCCGGAGCCCAGAGCCCAGGAGGCGGGGAGCAGAGACGACCTCGGGGTTCCTGGCAGGGGGCGCTGCTGGGCGGACGGCCGACATGGAAGAGGGAAAAGCAGGTTTTGGGGGGCCCTGGTGAGTCTGGGTTGGGCACCTGGGAGGCATCCAGGGGTGACGATCTGATGTGGCAGTCTGGCCCGAGAGAAGGAAGCAAGGAGAGGGAGAGAGAGAAGGAGACAGCGTCACGCAGCCAATGGTCCCCACCGCCGGGGTGGGGCCCTGCGAGGTCCTCTGTGCTCTGGATCGCGCCCGCCCGCGTGGAGCTCGCTACGTCTTCCCAGCGAGAAAGCCCGTCTGGTCTGCCAGCTCACGGAGTGACAATTTCCGCTGTAAACACTTAAGAATGTGCGCTAATCTTCTGTGTGCATCCCCCCTTCCCGTCAGTGTAAGAAGCTCAGGTTTTAGGCCACTGTTTTGCACACCGAGTACCAGTTACGGCCCCTCTCCTGGCAGCCCTCGGGATGGATATGTTAACCCCCAAAGTACCACGATCCCCGAAGCCTTGGTGTGGGGTCCTGACGTTATTTAATAGCATGCAAGAAACAAGGAATTTTGAAAAGGGCAAAAGAGATTTATAGTGTTATAATATTTCTATTTCACAAAACGCGTGAAGCATGCCTAAATTTCCTTAAAGGTCACACCATCTGTCCGTTTATTAAAGAAACCCCCCTTATTAGATTAAATAGTCTGAGGTCAGACAGAAGCAGTCTCTCAGTTTCACAGATACGGATGGTTAGGTATGCACAGTGGCCACTGCTGTCAGGCCACTTGCTCAGATTTCCAGCGTGGGAATGTCAGAATTAAATGGGAGAATATCTATTTAAATGCTGAGTGTGGGGCCTGGCTTTGGGGGTGCTTGCTCCCTTCCCAAATTATGGGGGGATGTGGGGTGTGGGGGAGGCTCATGTGTCTGGGAAAGGAGAGTAGGGGCACCCCTGTGTGTGCGTGTCAGGGCAGGGAGAGCTGCTAGAACTGGGGTTTGGAGTTTACGTTGGGGAGGGGGCAGCAGGGGACAGGGTGGGACAAAGGCAGGGAGACAAGATGACCCGGGGAGCTCAGGCCAGATTGTCAAGGATGTAATGAGACATGCCTGAGTGCACGCTCAAAATATGAATTACAAATGACAGCGTGTGTGCTGTCAATGGACATAGCATTTTCAAAATATGAGTTCCCTGGGGTGATCAAAGGAAAAAAAACAGCCAGAAAGCTCATTGGAGGAGCTCGAGATATGGGGAGGCAGGAAGGGGAGAGATGGGGTGGGGGACCGCCTGCCCCTGGGCCCTGCTGCCCGGGGGCTGATCAGGGCACAGACAACCACAGCCATGTAGACAGACACATTCGCTGTGACGCCTCTTACACAGCATGGCAGGACCAAGCATGGTTTCCGCCACCCGCCTGGCAAGGGGGCCCAGTCTCTCCTTGAATACTCCCCAAGACGGGGAGCTCACACCTTCCTAGAGGAGAAGCCCAGCTGCTTCGGAACTCAGTCCCCCTGGCACCCAAGGAGCCTTCTAAAAGGGAAACTGGTTCACATCACTCCCTGATTAAACTTGGGGTGTCTCGCCATCAGCTGACACTCCTGCCCGTGCCGCCCCGCCCGTCTCCTGGGGCCCCCTCCATCTGCCCCCGCAGCCCCAGCTCCAGCAAGCATTTCTTGCCCCTGGACACACTGCTCTCTTTAACCTCTAGGCCTCTGCACACACTGTTCCCCCCACCCTGGCCTCTCCTACGATGAACCCAAATGCTTCTGGCATTGTGACCCCCTCCCTGGGGTGCCCAGTGACTCAGGTCTAGAGTTTAACTGGAATTTGGCATCATTCATCCCAAAAACACTGGCTCGGACTCCCGGCTGTGCCAGAACCTGGACTGAGCAGGCAGAGAGGACAGAGTCCACGGGACCCCTCATTTCTAGTGTCCGAGTGGGCGAGTCACTGTGTAGAGGTAGTCTGCCTCTCTGGGGGTGTCTCTCCAGGCTGTGAATCCTGGGGGCCAGACTTTCCTCTCTCCCTCTAGAACACTGGATCTATTGGATTGGTAGAAGGAGGGGGAGGAGAATTGTAAAAATGTCTTCTTGGTGGTACCCTGAAAATTGCAGGCCATCACCTCCCTCATCCAGGAATCTCTGTCTCTATTAATGCAGCCGCAGGCAGCACGCTTATCCCTAGCACCTTCCTGAGCTAACGGTTAGGACAGAGAACACCAGGCACACCGCCGCCTCTGGTCCCCTGCTGCTGTGGCAGTGGCTGCAGCAGGAGTAAGCATCATGGGTGTACCTGGGGAGAACTCCAGTAGGTGCTCTGGCACCAGGGAGGGCTTCCTGGAAGAGGCAGCACTTGAGCTGAGTCTTAACATCAAATAGGTGTTCGCTTTTACTGATGATGTGCCTCCTAACTGCTTTTCTAAATTCCATTCCCTCTGTCTCGTATTCATGTTCTTGGCCTCTTTGGTTCACAAGTAGAGAGGACCACCTGCAGTGTTTATCTGTAATTTCTCTTCTCACGTCCCTGGTCTAGACCGTTCGTCATCTGTCCATCCCACATGTGCTAAGTCTGGGGTGTGCGGCACGGGGATGGCTCGGGGACACAGGGAGCCCTCCAACCAGCCCTGGCTCAGGGAGCTGGCCTCTGCTGACGCCCCCAGCAAGCGACCCCCAACCCTGAACAACCCAGGACCCTTCTCAGGGTGCCGCCCACTTTTCTGCAGGTCTTCGAGGAGGAGCACCACATCCTCTACCTGGACCACGGTGGTGTGATCGTGGCCATCAAGGACACCTCCATCCCCTTGAAGATCCTCAAGTAACGATGACGGGGCCCAGCGGGGGGTGTGGGGCAGGCAGGGCTCTTTCACTCTACCTGGGGGCCACTCAGAACGGTCCCCAGAAGGGTCTCCCTGCAGGGCCCCAGGACAATGGCTCTGAACCCTAGCAGCTGGGGTGGTGGCAAGCTCGGCACACCCTCCCCAGCAGTTCTCTAGGCCGGGCACAGGGGGACAGGGAAACAGGAAAGGACAATGGAGCATGGCCGGGTGAGCCAGAGGGAGGCCTGCGGCCCAGAGGAGGCCTCCAGCCCAGGTTGAGGGAACAAGGAGGGCTTCCCAGAGGAGGTGACTTTTAAGCATCAACGAGAATTAGTTAAGTGGAGGAGGTGGGACCAGACAAGGAGCCCAGCTTGTGCCCAGGGGACAGTGGCTTTGGCATCAGCTTCAGACATCTGAAGGGCCACAGTGGGGAAGGTGCGACCTCTGGATCCAGAAGGCAGAGTGTGGGGGAGGGGAGAGCTGCAGGAAGCTTGTATCACTTTACTCTGGAAAAGCTTTCTGCACCGTGAGCTGGCAGCCCTGTGACACACAGGCGTCACTGGCCTGTCAGGCCCTAGGCCGGGCTCAGGCTTTGGGTGGGGCTGAGCCGGACCTTTCCAAGACCCAGGTAACTCTGCAAGCCGGGGGTACCCAGACAACATACCCAGGACTCCTTGGCTGCAGTGTCGTTAAGCAGATATGGACGCCGTTTGGTGCTGGCAGGTGGCCGCCGTGGGCCCCCAGGAGAGAGTGAAGTCGGGGGTCTGGTTGGGGCCCGGATGCTGGGCTGGCCCTGGGAACAGCCACTGCTCCCTCGCCTATTCTCCCAGCTGCCTCAGCTGGATGGCGCTGGTCCCTGGGCACAGGCAGGGCAGCAGTCCTGGACACGGGGACTGCTCCCACCTGCCCTGCATGGGTGACACCCCTTCTCTTGGCAGGTTCAGCGTGGATGAGGGTCTTACCTGGAACACACACAACTTCACCAGCACCTCCGTGTTTGTGGACGGGCTGCTGAGCGAGCCGGGGGAGGAGACGCTGGTCATGACGTGAGTGCCGCAGAAGGGGGGCAGGTGGGTCGGCGCTGACCCCCCCACGGGCCATGGTGGAGGGCTGTCCGGGGCCCTTGCTGCTCTGGGCCGGTTCACACTGACCTCCAGCCTCACCCCTCATTCTCACCCTCACCTCATCTTCACACCTGCCTCCTCATCTCTCTGTCCGCTGTTTCCGCTCACGCCCAGCCCCTGGGAAGTCCACGTTCAAGGACATCCATTACCTGCCCACAGCCACTGGCTGTTGAGGGCGGGACCAGGGGTCGGGGGCTGGCTCGGAGCCACTGCTCCATCCCGCCCTCGGAGCTGATTATTATTATTGGCTATCGGTACCTGTAAAGGACTTGTAAGCACGTTGTGCAGTGAGGACCTGAGACGCAGGCGGACCAGTGCAGGGCAGAGGCAGGCTGTCCGCCCGGCTCTGGAGGCCCCTCCCGGCCACCCTGGCCCCGGGCAGCCTCGGGTCTGAGGCCGTATGTAGCAAATGGCAGTTTAGTCCCAGGGCGGCCCCACCGGGGCAGGAGCAGTATCGCTGGGCCACTGCGCAGGCGGGAACTGAGGCCTGTGGGGAAGCGGTTTGCACAGTGGGGACCTGGGGACGGGGCCCCAATAAGGCAGCCTCCCTCCCTTCGTATCGCCTCCCCAGCATCTTCGGCCACATCAGCTTCCGCTCCGACTGGGAGCTGGTCAAGGTGGACTTCCGGCCGTCGTTCACCAGGCCGTGCAGCGAGCAGGACTACAGCTCCTGGGACCTCACCAACCTGCAGGTGGGCCACGGGGCGGGCCGGGCGGGCGCTCGTCCCCCAGGCGGTGCAGCCAGAGCGCCGGCCGTCTTTAGACAGCGGGACCTGCTGGAGATTTTCTGGGCCCTTCGTGGCGCCTGGGCTGCTCTGAACTCAGTCACACCCAGCGGGCAGGGGTTCTGTGGAGTCAGGTGTGCTTGGGGTCCAGGATTGTTCAGCTCGTAGGGAGGTAACACGGCACGTGCATCACATGTGACCTAGCACCCCAGTGGGTCTAGGGCAGCCCCCACCCCCTAATCCCAACACAGAGATGTTTCTACAGCAAAATGTATATTCCCACCAAGGGGCATAAATAAGGACCAGAGGCGGCCTCCCACTGCAGTTCAGCTCAGGCCGTGCTCCCAGAGGTGTGATGGGGGAGGTCAGCACTGCAGGATGGGGGGCTCTGGCGTTGCCGTGGGACCCCGTTTCAGGGAGCAAGGATGGGGTTAGTTCCGATCACTGGCTGAGGACCTACTGTGCGTCCACATGCGCCGTGGCTCTTCCCAGCTCCTACACGGGGGCCTGAGGCATTCAAGGGGGCCCATTTGCAGCAGTCCTGTGACCCCCCCCCAGGCCGACGGAGCTTGTCCACCGAGGTGCTCGGGGCGCTTGCAGGCGGGGGTGGGAGGGACGCTGCCCCCGCTCGGCCTCAGACGCCCCCCCCCACGGCCTCGGGGTCCCCTTCTGCGAAAGGGCACCAACCCCTCCGCCCCGCGCAGGGCGAGCGCTGCCTCCTGGGCCAGCAGAGGAGCTTCCGGAGGCGCAAGGCCGCGTCCTCGTGCGTCAAGGGGCGGAGCTTCACGTCGGCGCTCGCGGCCCGCGTGTGCGAGTGCCGCCACGCCGACTTTCTCTGGTGAGGCGCTCGCGGCCCCGCGGCGTGGGGGCCCCGCGACCCGGCGGCCGTGCAGGGGGCGGGCGGAGGTCGGTCGCCCCGCGTGGGTTCCGCCTTAGTCTGCGCGGTAGAACCGGGTCGCCCCGGCCTGTCCCCGAGCGGGAGGGGACACTGGGGCCAGCCGAGGGCGTCGCCAGGCGAGCTGCGCCCAGGGACTCGCCCGCGGCGCCCGGGGCCCACGGGAGGACGGCTGAGGCCCTGGCCCGCCGGCCCCCTCGCCGGTCCCCCCTCGCTCCTGCCCCTCCCCCTGCATCTCCGCACCGGCGTTGAAAAGGCGGGTCCCCTGGCAGCGCCCCGTCCCTCGCTTCGCCCGGCTGTCCCCTGCTCTCCCGTTGAGACTTAGCTCGGCACCCCTTCTCACCCGGAACATAGTGAGGCTTGCGGGCCTGTCGCCCCCGGGACAGAGTCGGGTGGCTTTGCCTCTGTGCCCCCACACACGGTGGCCCGCGCCCCAGGCCGGCTCCCGTCCCGCCCGCGCCCGCCTCCTCACCCCCTGTCTTTCCTCCTCCAGTGACTACGGGTTTGAACGGTCCTCCTCCTCCTCTGACGCCGACAAGTGTTTTGCCAACTTCTGGTTTAACCCGCAGTCTCCCCCCGACGACTGTGTCCTGGGCCAGACGTACACCAGCAGCCTCGGGTGAGCGCACAGGCCCCGCGTCTAGCTGCAGGGACGAGCCGGCAGGACCCGCAGCTGCCGTCCCGCGTGGGGTCAGGGCTGAGCACACTCTGTTTGTGGGACTGCCGAGCGTCACCCTGGGCCCTGACCCTGCAGGGTGCTCTGACCTGAGCTCACGTGGGCCAGCGTCAGGGACAAACATACCTTGAGCTGGCTCTGCACAAACAACAATCGACAGAGAAGGTCCGAGGTGCCTCGTAGCTCACTCCGCTGCAAAGGCTGAGCCCACTCAGGCAGTTAACACCCCTCCCCTGGTCCTTGGGCGTCCCTGCTGTGCCAGGACCCTTCCCCATTCACCAGCGCCGAGCGAGGCAGCCCCGAGCTGGGCCGGAGGGGCTCGCACGCCCTTTGGGTCTCAGCTTGAGCGGCACTTCCTCCAGGAAGCCTTCCCTGACCACCCGCCCTGGGCCCTGAGCTTCCCTCTGTCATAGCGCACGGCTGGCTGTTGTCATCACTCACCCAGCTGTCCTCGTGCTGAACTGCAAGCCCCATGACGCACAGTAGGTTCGCCTTCGGTGTGTGTGAGGGTGAGGTACTCGGCAGGTGTGAGCAATTACGGCGCTTTTCCTCCCCGGAGGCTGCTCTGTGTTTATAAAGGATTAACGTCGTATAAAGATGTTAGGTGAGAGAAGCTGTGAACCTGCCGTGTCAGGACGCCCCAAACGTGCTCCACCTAGAAGTCCCTGCTTCCCTTTGAAGGAGTCTCGAGAGGGAGAAAAAGGCCTATGGGCTTTTCAGAAACTCCCCATCACTGCCGCTGGGGAAGGGGCGGGCCAGAGCCTGAGGAAGCCAGAAGCAGGACCCAACTTTGCAGACTTGGCCCTCGGCAGCATAACGCCCATCATCCATCTGCCCATTTGTTCCTCCATCCACCGACCCACCCACCTATCCGTCATCCGTTCGTCATCCATCCACCCACCAATCCGTCATTCATTGATCCATCCATTCTTCTGTCTTTACATCTATCATCTATGCATCCATCCATTCTTTCATCCCTTCATCCATCCAATCATCCATGTATTCATTTATTCCTCCACTCATCCCTCATTCATTCATTCATCCATCCTTCCATCCCTCCAGCCTTCCCTCCCTCCCTCGCTCCTTCAGGCAGCCACAGCACCCACTCCGGTGTACCCACCAGGGCTTGGCAAGCAGGGACCCAAAGGGCACAGGGTTTCGTCCATACCATCTACACATTCTGGGCACCGAGGTGCTGCAGGCAGGAGGCTCTTAGTGTGTTTATTCCCGAGTCATCGACGTGTCTTTGCCTGGAAACCTGAGTGTGCATCCAGTGGCTAAATCGGGCAGGCAGGAATGGGCACCAGGCTCAGAGGCGACCAGGCCCGGGCCCTTCGGCCATAACACTAGTTTTCCAGACACACAATCCCAGTTTAGCCTCAGGGGCTTCTCACGTGGCCAGTCAGGTGCCACCCGCGCAGTAGTTTCCCCGTGGTCTCCCGAAAGGCTTCCTGGGCCCATCGGGCTCTGCCCGCCAGCCCCTCGCCTGCTCACCCCCCTCCGCTCTCACTGCCCGGGGTGCTCCTTCCTGCCCTGATCTCTCCTGAAACCCCCTCTCAGGGGCCAGACGCCTGGCACCGCCCCCTCCCAGCGCTTGTCACAGTCATGATTTTACGTTGATGTGGGGAAGGTCGGTGAGGCCTGCGTCCCCTGCTAGACAGTCTGCTCTGCAAGGGCAGGGGCTGTGTGTGGTCACCCGTCCCCCGCACCCGGCACGTACTGCCTGCTCAGTCCATAGGTGTGACATGAGTGAGTCGATGAACCAGGTACCGTCGAGTCCAACTGTCTCAAGGTCACAGGGAAGCAGAGCCCTCGGGGGACGGCAGCCCCTCTCGGGCACTCTGTCCTCCCGGGAACACAGCTCTCAGCAAGGCCACGAAATTCAGACTGGTCCCTTCAGCCATCCCCTCAGCAACAATAACAATGGCTGCTATTATCATTATCATTATTATTATTAATTATTACTATTATTAAAGTAACATAATCAGACCCAGGAGACATTTGTCGGGTGACAGAAACAGCTCCTGCCATGTCTGGTCATTCGTCCCCTCCCCTGAGCCTCAGTGTCCTCATCTCTAAAATGGGGAGGAAACTGCCGTCGGGTTGAGGTGGGAGGCAGATGGGAGTTGGTGAATGAGGCCTTAAGCCACAAGCCACCCCTGGGACAAGCGTCCCTTCCTGGGCTGCGGGGCCCACCCCCGCCCCGCCCGTCTGTGCAGACCCTGACCCGCCCTCTGACCACAGGTACCGGAAGGTGGTGTCCAACGTGTGCAAGGGCGGCGTGGACCTGCGGCAGAGCCCGGCACAGCTGCAGTGCCCCCTGACACCGCCCCGGGGCCTGCAGGTCAGCATCCTGGGCGAGGCGGTGGCCGTGCGGCCCGGTGAGGACGTCCTGTTCGTGGTGCGACAGGAGCAGGTGAGCGGGCCGTCTGCAGGTGGGTCAGAGCAGTGTCCATGCTGCGGGAGGTGACAGCGGGCCAGACCCCTTCTTGGGTCCAGACCAGCACAGACAAAATGACACAGGAAAACACAGAGGAGCGAAGAGTAGAACGTGAGGGAGACCGTGAGGGTGCAGCCAGCGTGAGCGAAGGGAACGGCAGCACCCAGCGTGGGTGTGAAGGGGTGTGAGGGGCTGGGTGGATGAGCCATGCGGGGCTGTGTGTGGCCGTGGGCTTTTTCTAAACCTCCAAGGATATTGATTTAGTTCATTTGGAATCTTAAGCAAAGCAGAAAGTTAAAAAAAGAACTGTGACTTATAATCCCACAATCAAAAATAAATCCTGTAGGTAGGACGGTAGGTAGGTAGACAGACAGATATATACAGAGGGTGCCAAAAAAAGGTATTCACATTTTAATTTTTTTTTAAAGATTTTTATTGGGGAATTGGGGGGATGGGAACAGACAAGTTGCTGGCGTTTTGTTCTTCAGTCTAATTGTGGAGAACGTTGCTTCACTGGCCCAAGTTGGCACCATCATTGCGCTCTTCCCTGGTAAGGCAGATCAGTCACCGGCTTCTGGATGGCCGCTCACTGCGGCTGCTGGCCGCTCACGCTGGCTGCTGGCTACACACGGTAGCCCATGGCAACCCACTGCCACAGGGACTGCAGCCTACGCAGTCGCTGGCGACTCACGGCAGCCCAGCTCCAGGTTGAGCTGTTGTTCAGCATCTTAGCTGTAGAGGGCAGTGTCACTGGCCCTCATATGTGGGATCCGAACCAGGGCCTGCTGCTCAGAGCTGGCATCCCAAGCCAGTTCTTAACCATCGCACCACTCGGCCGGCCCAAGGTATACACATTTTAAGAAAAGAAAAAAACTGTATTAAAATTGTAATGCTCAATATATACCGATAACAAAAGATGAATACAAGTCACGTATACACATTTTTTTGGCATCCCCGCTATATATAAATTTCTTCCCAGTCTCCTGACCTTCCTTTTTTTAGTACAGTGCTGTGTTTTCTTCTGCTTTTAAAAACAATATATATTCATTATAGAACATTTGAAAAACACAAAAAATATCAAGAATATAAATATCACCAAAACTCCTGTTCCCCCAGGATAACTGGTTAATTTTTGTATTTCCTTCTCATCTTTTTAAATTAATAGGTAGCATGCTTATTTTTCTGATTATAGAAGTTACAAGTGCTCGTTGTAGAACATTGAAAACCAGAAACATGCAGGAAATTCAAATTTACAGAACCACACAAAGAGGTCAGAGCCACCTGTTCCCACCTGGGGAGAGACCCCGGGTTCCGGGCTCCCCTGGATTTATGGGGCGCTGCTGGGCATTCGTAGCTGTCCTTTAAAATACCAAAGGGTTCCAAAGGGGCGGCCAGGTGAGGATGACAAAGGCCTTTGGTGTCAAAAAGCAGGGACTCTGGTCTAGTCCAAACAGGGAAACTGAGGCCAAAAGGACGCAGAGCTGCACGTGAGCACTGCTGTGTGGGGCACTTTATACACCCTGCCTCCTTCAGTTCCCTCCTTCCCCAGGGCTCCTGTCAGCCTGCTTGGCAGCTGGGAAACCGAGGCTCTGTCCGTCCGACAAGGGCAGTCACTCGCCTGAGACCACACAGTGACAAGTGACAAATAATTGCACTGGGTCCCAGTCTGGGGATTCGGGGCGGACAGCGCCTGGTCACAGCCCCCAGACCTGAGCCAGTCCTGGGGCAGGCTCTGCGCCCACCTGCCCCTGGTCCCGGTGCTGATGAACTTGGCCCTGAGAGTCCTGCTCTGAGCTTTGGGTGGCCCTGGGGTCGGGGTGTGGCCCCTCTGCTCACAGCAGCGTCCTGGAGTGGCAGGAAGATGAAGCCCTCTACCCTGCCTGGGGTCCCCTAGGCCCTCTGAGGGGACCCAGCTGCTGCCCCTGAGTTCCTGGTCAGACTTCTAGGACAAGATGGTCGTATGCTGCCCCCTAGAGCCTGGAATCTTGGCCACTCAGTTGCATCTGGATTCTCTGAATTGGAGCCAAGAAAGGACAAGCCTGTCAGCCCCACTGCCCCTGAGGACACTGGCGTGCAGCAGCATGGGGCTGAGGTCGGCCAGGGTGAGGGGAGCGACCCAAAGATGCTCTTAGAAGAGAGCCGTCGCCCAGTGCACACTGCAGTCCAGAGGGCCCGGGTTCCCTCACTGAAGCCAGGAGCGCGGGGCCGGGGCGTGTGCATACGCAGGTCCACTCACACACACACACTGACTCACACATGTTCACACACCCATAAACACTCACACGTGCTCACAGCACACCTGTACACTGACACACAGTCACACATACACACCCTCACACAGGCCAAGCCCGGCGTGGAAACAGCCCTGGATTTACAGGGCCCAAGTTCTGTAAATATCTAAGAACTAAAAATCAGACCTGATAGAAAACCCAGAATTGACCCACACACGTAACGCCCAGCCGGCTTTGCCCTGGGAGCCAAAGCGTCTCAGTGGAGGGAGGCTGGTCTTCAGCAAACAAACATCCAATAAAAATGAACTTTGAGGGCCGGCCGAGTGACGCGTTGGTTAAGAGTTGGCTTGGGACGCCAGCTCTGAGCAGCAGGGCCCCGGTTCAGATCCCACATGAGGGCCAGTGACGCTGCACCCTCTACAGCTAAGATGGTGAACAACAGCTCAACCTGGAGCTGGGCTGTTGTGAGTCGCCAGCGACGGCGTAGGCTGCGGTGGGGCTGCCGTGAGCTACCGTGAGTGGCCAGCAGCCGGCGTGAACTGCCGTCCAAAGGCCGGCGAGTGATCTGCCTCACCCAGGAAGAGCGCAACTTGGGCCAGTGAAGCGACGTCCTCCACAACTAGACTGAAGAACAAAAGGACAGCAACTTGTCTGTTCCCCTTCCCAGATTCCCCAATGCTGTTTCCTCCCCCAATTTTCCCAATAACATCTTTAAAAAAAAAAAATGAACCTCGACCAGAGCCTCCAGCCTGATACTAAGTCAATTCAAAATGGATCACAGATTTAAATGCAGAATGGAAAACTAGAAACCCTTTAGAAAAGAGGAGAAACTATTTGGGATCTAGGGCTAGGCCAAGGGTTCTTCGAGTTGGCGCCAAAAGCACCCTCCAAAAAGGCACTCTGATAAATTGTTCTTGTCAACATGAGATGCTTTTGCTCTGGGGGAGACCCTGTTAGGAAGATGAAAAGGCGAGCCAGAAGAGAAAATGTGTACCAGCCACATGCCCACCTGGAGTGGTACCCAGAGCGTAAGGAACTCGGAGAACTTGATAGTAAGAAAACAAACAACCCAGTTAGAAAATGGGCAAAAGACATGAAGGGACATTTCATTGAAGAGAAGATACAGATGAGGAGTCAGCACATGAAACTCTGTTCAACATCATCAGCCATTGGGGAAATGCAAATTCAACTGCACAGCTACCAGAATGGCTAAAACAAAAAAACAGTGACAGCACCGAATGCTGGTGAGGATGTGGAGAAACCGACCCCTCCTGTACGGCTGGAGGGAACATAAAATGGAACAGCCCCTCTGGAGGGCAGTGACCACAAAACGGGGCTCAGCAGTGGCCCTCCCGGGCATCTGTGCAGAGAGAGGAAGCCTTCTGTTCACACAGTCACCTGGGCACCATGTTCACAGCAGCTTTATTCCTAACAGCCAGGGAGTGGCAACAACCCAGGTGTCCTTGAGGGCTGAGTGGATAAGCATTGGTCCCTCTGTACCGTGGAACACCACTCTGCAAAGAAAAGGAACGGGTTACGGGAACACACCACAACCTGGGTGAATGGCCAGAGAATGGACACTCACGGGAAAAACGCCAGTTCCCGAAGTTCACACGGTGTATGATTCCATGTACTGGACATTCTCGAGACAACAGGATTATAGAAATGGAGAACAGCGTTGTGGTTGCAGGGCGTCAGCGATGTGCTGGGGGAGGGTGGCTGTAAAGGGCAGCGGCGGGGGGCCCAGTGGGGACCCCACTGCACTGTGACTGCATCAGCGTCCACTGCCTCACTGTGGCATCTCCGTTTTGTGAGCTGTTAGTTCTGGGGGATGCTGGGTACAGGGCGCACGAGGCCTCTGAATTAGTCCTTATGCTTACATGTGAACTGACAATAGTCTCAGAGTAAAACTTCTCCATTTGTGTGAAGTGCTCAGTAAGAAGCAAACACACCCAAACCGATCGCATGAAATGCACCAAGGTGTTCCTGGTGGGTGTTCCGGTGAGATTACGGTTTCTCCTTTTGTCTCCTCTTTCCTGCTTGTAGTTTCTATTTTTTCTACATTGAGACTATACTACTTTCCTGGTTAGGAAAAAATGACAAGTTACTTGACAGGTGTACAACACGAGGGTTGCTAACTGTTAATAATAACCCTGTTTTGTCCTCGTCACTAGGAAGACACCATCCTGGGTGTCCTTTGGAGTGGGGTGGCCAGAAGGGAGGACACGAGGCAGGGACAGGGAGAGGGAGGGAGAAAACGAGGCTGAAGACGAGAACTTCTCCGCGCTCTGAAGTTGAAAAAGTTATTGTTTGCTTCACTCAGTTTCCCACGACTCTGAGGAAACTGGTTATTTGACAGATAATGTTTGTGGCAGTAAAACAGCTTGTGTGGGTGGCTAAGAGCTGGGACGGGCCAGCAGTTGGTGGGAGCGCCTCTCTGCACAGACCCCGAGCGTCGAGGTCATTCCTGGCACCGCATAGAGCGAGATAAAAGAAAAACTCAGGAACCCAGGGTCACACCGGGAGTAACGCTTTGTTTCCTAGGAGACTTTTCAGAGTCGTCATGAGTGTGCATGTTCCTGGTGCTGTTACCGAAGCCCCCCCTCCATGTGCCAGGCCCCTTGTCACCCTCCCTGTGCTGGCCCTGCCCCCACCCCACCTCCCTGAACTCCCCCTTGGGCCCCTCAGGGTTCTCCCTCTCTGCAGCCGGGGGATGGCTCTAAGCCTGGCCCCTGCTTCGACCCTCCTGGGTCTCTCTCTGCATCTCTGGGCCGCGTCTGCCTTCCTCCGCGCGGCGCCTCAGGCTGGACCCCAAGGGCAGAGCCAGCTCTGGTTCCCTGGGCTGCCCAGGCCCACTCGCTTCAGGAAAGGAGTGAGGGAATGAGTGAGTGAGTGAGTGAGTGAGCGTTGAGGTCCAACCCTAAGTGCCCTTATGGTGTCTCCTGCAGGGCGATGTCCTGACCACCAAGTACCAGGTGGACCTCGGGGACGGCTTCAAGGCCATGTACATGAACCTCACGTTGACCGGCGCGCCCATACGGCACCGCTATGAGAACCCTGGCGTCTACCGTGTGTCTGTCCAGGCGGAGAACATGGCAGGCCATGACGAGGCGGTGCTCTTTGTCCAGGTCAACTGTAAGTCCGTTGCCCCTTGGAGGCCAAGCGTCACTTCCTGTGACATAGAAAACCTGGTCCTGGGGAAGCACAGGGACCCCCTCAGGGCTGTGGCAGGTCCCCAGCGCTCGAGAGAGGGCCCAGGGGCAGGGAGGCAGGCAGGCTGGGCTAAGTCCACACCCTTGGTGGTCTGCACAGTAGTGGGGCTCGTGGTGGTGACGGTGGTGGGTGATGGGGGCAGTGATGGTGATAGTGATGGTGTTGGTGATGGTGGTGACGTCGGTGGTGTCAGTGGTAACGAAGTTGATAACAGTGTCCAACAAGCAGCCTCTGAAAAGCCCAGCGCCCTAATGCCCTCTGACCTTTCTCCGGACCCTGCAGCCCCCCTGCAGGCCCTGTACCTTGAAGTGGCCCCTGTCATTGGCATCGACCAGGAGGCGAACCTCACAGCTGTGCTGCTGCCCTTGAACCCCAACCTCACTGTCTTCTATTGGTGGATTGGCCACAGCCTGCAGGTACGCGGCCCTGGACCCCTGGGGCCCCTCCCTCTGGCAGCTCCCACCTGCGGTGGAGAGTGAGGGCAGGACACTGCCCTGGGTGTTGGCAGGACACAGGGCTGGCGCTGTGGAGAGGAGGCAGGCGCACACCACCCTCGCCTCCCACCCCGAGCGTCTGCTCAGGGTCCAGCTGTGCGCAAGTATGGTGGACATGGGATGAGCCAGACCCGACCCTGCCTATGCCCCGGGAAAGAGATGTGAGCAGGGTAGGAGACTCGAGTTAGGGTGTGACAAGTGTCACAGGAAGGGGGCAGGTGTCTGAGCTCCAGGGGAGACAGGCCATTTCGGGTTTGGGGTACGAGTGGTCAGGGAAGGCTGCATGGAGGAGGGGTCACTGGGTCTGATCTCAGAGCCACAGACAATGCCTGGGGGAGGTCCTGAGGCCTTTGAGGAGCCAGGCTGCCCATCCTTAAACTGGGGGGCCTTGAGACCCAAGGAGGGGCATCCTTCATTCAGCAAACTGCAGCCCTGTACCCCTGAGCAGAAAGCTCTCCACACACAGTGGCTGAGGGCCTGACACAGGGCAGGGAGGGGCTGTAGGCTCCCAGTGCGTTTCCCTGGAGTGGGGAGCGTCTAGCAAGGGCTTGGGCTGTGGGTTCGAATCCCAGCTCCGCCTCTTTCAGCCGAGCTCTTCAGGCAAGCCACTGAACCCCCCAGAGCCTCTGTGTCCCCCTCTGCCAGGTCCGAGGTCACACGGCCACCAGTCCTGATGAGAGCGCCCCAGCCCTCAGGCTGGTGCTGAGCCGGGCACGGGGCCGCAGCTGAGTGGGGCTGGGAGATGGACTGGGGTGGGCGGAGGCCCAGCGTGAGGCCACGTTCGGGGGGCTCCCGGACAGCCTCTGGGAGGGGTTGTGTCCACGCCGTTAGGTTAGAACCGGGTTCTCTGGGGGCCTCCCCATGCCCCCGGCGCTGCCCCCTGCCCTCCTGAGAGCAGAGGAGAGCGTTCTCACTGCAGCCCTGGCAGCTGACCGGCCGCAGGGCCGGCTGCCCCGTCGCCGCCACCACAGGTCCGGCCCTGACTCTGCCTACGCCCCGCAGCCTTTGCTGTCCCTGGATAACTCTGTGACAACGCGGTTTGTGGACACGGGGGACGTGCGTGTGACAGTGCAGGCCGCCTGCGGGAACTCAGTGCTGCAGGACTCCAAGGTCATCCGCGTGCTGGGTGAGTCCCTCCTGGGACGGGGACAGGGGACAGGGGACAGGGACCCGCAGCACGCCGTCTCCTCTCGTACCGCCTCGGCCCGGGCGGTCAGCGGCCTCATGTGGAGACTCAGAGTCCCGTCCGCTTCGGTGTCCCATTTACCTGTGCTCCCTGGGGGCCCTGAACCCCTCATGGGAGACGTTGACAATGAAAAAACTCCTGAGAGTGAGAGACACACACCCCGGCCAGCGTGCTGCTGCCTTCATTGTCACAGCGATAAAAACTCATTCCGCTCTCACACAGCCTGTCCCGTGGACAAAAGCCAGCAGTGAGATGTTCAGCGGGTCGCCCTCAGCCATTCCTTCATTCACAAACGAGCTTGAAAATAGTCCTCCCCACGCCCCTTGTAAGATGGTTTGTGTTGTTTAATTGACATGTAATCAACATACAGCATTGTATTATTTCCGACGTACTACAGGAATGCTTTGATACTTGTATATGCTGTGACATGGCCACCACAGTAAGTCTAATTAATGTCCGTCTCCACATAGTTACCGAGTTGTTGTTTTTTTCTTGCGGTGAGCACTTTTAAGCTCTACTGTCTTAGCAACTTTCAGATACACAGCACAGGATTGACTGGTCACCGTGCTGTACACACAACTCCAGGACTTGCTCATCTTATAAGTGGACGTTGGCGCCTTTGAGCCCCGTCACCCATCCCCCACCCACCGCCCCACCCCCACCAGTCTGTTCTCTGTTCCTATGAGCGCAGTTTTTGTTTTGGCCTCCAGATCCCACGTATAACTGAGATCATACGGTATTTGCCTTTGTCTGACTTACTTCACTCAGCACAATGCCCGCTAGGTCCATCCATGTTGTCGCAAATGGCAGGGTTTCCTTCTTTCTATGGCTGAGTCATCTTCCATTGTGTAAATGAACCACCTCTTCCTTATCCACTCGTCTATCGATGGCCACCTGGGTTGCTTCCATGTCTTGGCTGTTGTAAACAGCACTGCGGTGAATATAAGGGTGCTGATATCTTTTCAAATTAGTGTTTTTTATTTCTTTGGATAAATACCCAGAAGTGGAATTGCTGGGTCATGAGGTAGTTCTATCTTTACTGTTTTGAGGAACCTCCACACTGTTTTCCATGGTGGCTGCACCATTTTACATCCCCACCAACAGTGCACGAGGGTCCCCTTGCCTCCACAGCCTCGCTGACACTTGTGTCTTGTCTTTTTGATGAGAGATATTCTGACAGGTGAGGTGGTTTCCCACTGCCGTTTTGATCGCATTTCCCTGATGATTAATGATGCTGAGCACCTTCCCATGGGCCTGTTGGCCTTCGGGGTGTCTTTTTTGGGGAAATGCCTATTAAGGTGCTCTGCCCTGTTTTAAATCAGACTGTGTGTTTGTTTGCTATGAATTGTATTTTTTATATATTTAGATATTATATGTATTTATATATTTGGATATTAACCCTTTAGCAGGTATAGGATTTGCAAATATTTTCTCCCGTTCCATAGGGCATCCTTCTCTCTGTTGCTGGTTTCCTCCGCTGTGCACGAGCTTTCAGTTCGGTGCACTCTTCACTTTTCTTGCCTTTGCTTTTGGTGTCAAATTCAAAAAATTTTTGCCCAGATTGATGTCTAGGAACTTACTGCCTGTGTTCTTTTCTATTGGGTTGTTGGAAAAGTCATGACGTATTTTGTCTGCTTTTCAAAGGTCATTTATTTATATAAAGAACAAAGATCAGTCAATGATATATTGCCCGTTTTGTTCGATAACCTTTTGCCATCTTTCAGTGAGCTTCGTAATTCCTTGTTCATAGAAGGACCTGTCTTTATTTGGCAAAAACTGAACAAGGTGCTGATTCACAGCCTCATCTGAATTGAACGTTATACCAAACAAGGATTTTTGAAGAAAGCGAAACAAGTGGAAGTCTGACGGCACAAGGTCAGGCGAATATGGTGGGTGTGGCAACACATCCCATCCAAGCTCCAATCATTTTTGACAGGTGATCAAACTTGTGTGTGGTCTCGCGTTGTCACGATGGAACACACTCCTTTACAATTAACAAGCTCTGGACGTTTCTGGATGATGGATTCATTCAAACTGTCCAACTGCCGACAGTACACATTCGAATTGATTGTTTGGTTCCTTGGTAGGAGCTCGAAAAACACGACACCTTTAGAATCCCACTACACTGAGAGCATAACCTTCCTCTGATGAATGTCTGCTTTCGATGTAATTCGAGGCGAATCATCACGTCAGGACCAAGACCGTTTGCACACCACATTGTTGTAAACAATCCACTTCTCATCACCAGTTATATAAGTCGCTTCAAAAACGGATCATTTTCCTCACGTTTAATGAGCATATTGCAGATGTTTATACGTGTTGTCAAATGAACTTCTTTGAGTTCATGCAGAACCCAAATATCCAGCTTGCTTACGTATCCCAGCTTCTTCAGGTGGTCGTGAGCACTTTAATGATGGATGTTCAATGTTTCTGCAATCTCTCATGTTGTGTAACGTGGGTTTGACTCGATCAACGCCTTTATTTTGTCGTCATCAACCTTGGTGGGCCTCCCTGACCGAGGAGCGTCGTTGAGATCAAAATCACCAACACGGAATTTCGTGAACCATCGTTGGCACTAACATTCTTGTAGAGCATTGTCACCATAAACTTTATGCAACTTTTCACAAGCTTGACATGCGTTCTTCCATTTATGGAAGTAAAACAGTAAAATATGGCAAAAATGCACAGTTTGGTCTTCCATCTTCAACTTGTTGTAAAACCTCCAAAACTCAACCAAATCACTCAATTTTCTTTTAGAATGAAGCTAGAACTATCAGCTGTCAAATGACATAGCAATAACATAGATGCGAATGACTCTAGTACTTCCAAAAATGAACTAGTGCCATCTGTCGCAAACATGCGTCATGACTTTTCCAACAACCCAGTATTTTGTGGTTTCAGGTCTTACGTTTAGTTTTTTAACCCCTTTTGAGTTAACTTTCGTGGTATAAGGGGTCGTTTCATTCCAGTTTTCCCAGCACCACTTATGAAGAGCCTGTCCCTTCCCAGTGTGTATTCTTGGCTTGTTTGTCAGATTGATTGACATCTAGGCGTGGGTTTAGTTCTGGGCTCTCTATTCTGTTCCATTGTCTGTGTCTGTTTTTATGCCAGTGCCATGCTGTTTTGATCACTATAGGCTTGTAGTGTAGTTTGATATCAGGGAGCCTGATAACTCAGCTTTGTTCTCCTTCCTCAAGATTGCTTTGGCTATGCAGGGTTTTTTTGTGGCTTAATTACAAATTTTAAGATTGTTCTAGTTCTGTGGAAAATGCCGTTGTTTTATCTATTTCTGTGAAATATCTCATTGGCGTTTTCATAGGGGTTCCATTAAATCTGTAGGTTGCTTTGGGTCATATGAACATTTTAACAGGGTTAAGTCTTCCAATCCATGAGCACGGAGTATCTTTCCATTTACTTATATCTTCAGTTTCTTCCATCAGTATCATATAGTTTTCAGTGTACAGGTCTCTCACCTCCTGGTTAAAGTTTATTCTTATGTACTTTATTCTTTTTTTTTTTTTTAAGATTTTTTTTATTGGGGAATTGGGAGAAGGGAACAATGTTAGGGAGTTGGGGGAGGGGAACAGCCAAGTTGTTGTCCTTCAATCTTAGTTGTAGAGGGCGCAGCTAGCTCAGCTTCCAATTCTGTCCAGTCGCCATTGGGCCGCCCGTAGGCAGCTCTCAGCTGCTCAGTTTAAGGTGTTGTGTTCGATCTTAGTTGCGGGTGGGTGTAGCCACCATCCTATGTGGGAGTCGAACCCGCAGCCTTGTTGTTAAGAGCGCACGCTCTATCCACTGAGCCACCTGGGTGGCAGCTCAACTCAAGGTGCTGAGTTCAGTCTTAGTTGCGGGTGGGCGTAGCCCACCATCGAACAGGCAATCTTGTTGTTACACCAGCTGAGCCATCCTGCCACCTGTTGGCAGCTCAGCAGCAGCTCAGCTCGGGCGCAGCTCAGTGGCCCATGTGGGAATCGAACTAGAGACCCTGTTGCTCAGAGCTCGCACTCTTGAGCAAGCTCTTAACCCGCTGAGCCACTCCGCTGGCCCCTGTACTTTATTCTTTTTGATGCGATTGTAAATGGGATTGTTTTCTTAATTTCTCTTTCTGATAGTTCATTATTAGTGTATGGAAACACAACAGATTTCCATGTATTGATTTTGTATCCTGCAGCTTTACTAAATTTCTTAGTTCTAACAGCTTTTTGGTAGAGTCTTGAGGGTATTCTAACATGATATCAGTCATCTGCAAATAGTGAGTTTCACTCCTTTCGTTGTCCATTGTGAGATGTTGAGCTCACAGTTCACAAGCGCTTGTCCCTTAAGCTGCTCATCCCTACAGGGCCTCCCCCCACTCTACACGTCAGAAAACCGGGGCTCTGGAGGCAAATGGAGAGAAGCTTCAATGAGCTGGGGTTCCGGTGCTGCAGTCTTCCTCCATCCCCTGCTGTGGCTCTAGAACAGGCCTCTGAGCTGGGGACTCTGGGAAACACAAGAGAAGGGGGTCAGGGGCCTCTGCGCTCCGGGGACTCTGACTCTGGTGGGGGAGGGGCCAGGTCAGACTCCGTGGGTCCCTGGGGGAGGGGAGGCCAACCTCGTGGGCTCTGCGTGTCCTTGTGAGTCAGTGGGGCACATCTCACGTGCCAGGCCCTCCCTCCCAGTCAGCGCTGCTTTCGTCATCGTCACCTCGGCGTCCTCGTTGTTGTTATCAAATGGCAGCCCATGAAGCGGGCCCTGCCTGCCTGGAACCGCTTCGGGCACACAGGGTGGGATCTTATTTTCCAAAAGTGGGCCCTGGGGTCTGACCCCAGGGCTGTCCTGGGCCGTCCAGGGTGTGCGGCCACCTCCCTCGGAGGGCGCAGAGCCCGGCTGCCCAGGACTGACCCTTTCTCCCGTCTCCGCCTCTTTCCAGATGAGTTTCAGGTTGTGCCTCTGCAGTTTTCCAAGGAGCTGGATGCACACAACCCCAACACCCCGGAGTGGAGAGAGGACGTCGGCCTGGTGGTGACCCGGCTGCTCGCCAAGGTGCCCCAATGCCGCAGCTTCCCCGCACCTGAGGGCACCTCAGGAAAGCTGGGGTGGGGGCGGGGTGGGCACAGCTCCCCACAGTCACAGTGCTCTGGCCTTCAGGCTGGCTGTGGGCACTTAGAAGCCAGCTAGGGTCCCCCGCCTGGGCTGGGAGGGCTTGAAGCTGAGTGTCACCTTGCCTCCTCCATGCCCATCCAGTGAGCGCCAGTCACTTCCACAAGACACAGCCGCTGTTCCCCTGTCGTCCATAATCTCTTTAAAGTGATGTTCATTTAGTCACTGAGTTTCTCTCCTGGGCCAAACCCTAGAGACAGAAGAATTAGGGTGCCCGCTGCCCTCGGGCAGCTGACAGAACGCACAGGAAGGCAGTGTGCGTCAGAGTGGCACAGCCACCCAAGGCCCTGGTTCCCCCAGGGAGAGAAAGAATTCCCCCCCCCCGCACCGAGTCATCCGAGGCTGCCACAGGCCAGCCACTGACCGTGCCTGCCCTCAGCCTGTTAACAGTGCTGCTGACACTGTTCAGGTATTGAAGGATGCGTAGGAGTTTGCCCGACAGAAGTGCATGGATTGGGACTTCAGGGGGCAGAGGGGCCCACAGGAGCTGAGCCTGGTGGGTTTGGGGACTTGTGTGGTCAGGAGTCTTGACATCTGGGAGGACATTAGTGGGGGAGGGGCCTGCTCACTGTGGCCACGGTGTGAGGAATGAAATGGCGGGGACAGGTCTGACCAAGTAGAGGCCGGTGTGGGGGCAGAGGCTGAGGGACTGAGAGAGCCGGCTGCAGAAGGGTCAGGAGTGGCTTTCAGGACAGGCCACGAGGGGATGTGGCTCAGGAGGAACAGACAGAGTGGCTCGTCTGTGTCCCCACAGGAGACCAGCGTCCCTGAGGAGCTGCTGGTGACTGTGGTCAAGCCGGGGCTGCCCACCTTGGCCGACCTGCATGTGCTGCTGCCCCCGTCTCAGCCCACAAGGAAGAGAAGCCTCACGAGTGACAAGGTACCTGTGGCCACTAGGCCGGTCCTCCCTGCCCCACCGCGGGTTTGCTGGCCGTTCACAGCCGGCACGGAAGCCTCAGTGGCTCGTCGGCACAGGCGGCCTCACTTCCCACCCGTCACAGCCGGCTGGGAGCTGGCCGTGCTTCTCCCATGGTTTCACCCTCTGAGACCCACGTGGCCTCCAAGGTCACAGTGGTGGGAGGCGGGGACAGCAGGGCCACCTCCCCAGGGGCGCCACACCACTTCCTGTTCCATTTCACCTGAAGCTGGTCACATGGTCCCACCGCAGTGCGGGGGCGGGGGCTGGAGATGTGGGCCCAGGGCGCGGGATTCAGGAATCAGCCCCCGTCAATTAGCAGACGCCTTTAGCGCACAGATGGCTTCCAAATGATGACCCGCATCCCAGGCAGGACAAGCCTGCTGTGTGACAGGTGTGTGTGGTGCTGGGAGGGGAGAGGCTCAGAGGCGATTGGAACCACGTCCCACCACTAGGGCGGCTGTAGTACTTGAAAAAGACAATTACTAGCGTCGACGGCTGTGTGGAGACACTGCTGGTGGAGGGACACTGGCCAATGTGGAACACAGTCTGGCCAAAAGTTAGACGTAGAGTGACCATGTGACATCGCACTTCCACCGAGAGAACCAAAAACGTCATGGCAGCATTATTCCTAATAGCCCAAAAGTGGGCGCAACCCAAGCGTCCATCAACAGATGAGGGACAGGCATGTGGCCCAGCCACGCAGTGGAGTATTACGCAGCCATGAAAAGGAACGGAGCACTGACACGCTCCAACCTGGACAAACCTGAAAACACGATGCCAGGGAAAGAAGCAGCTACGTGAGGCCACACGGTGTGTGATTCTGGGGTACCATCCCCATTTTTCCTGAGTGCTGAGAGCAAACCACAGACCCAAGGTCAGAAAAAAATCACGGTGACGTGTCCCGGCCACAGACGGCGGCAGCACCACGCGGCCTTCCTGTGCTGAGCATGGGGGAGGCATTGCAGCTGTCTTGGGAGCCTCACGTTGCCCCTCATAACAGGCGCAGCAGCCCTGCAGCCGCACCCCAGCCTCAAAGCCTGGGCTTTGATAGCTCGTCATCCACAGAGTCCCCAGTGCAAGATCCACATTCTGTGCGCCAGGAGCAGGCCTCCTGGATGGAGCTCAGGTGCCGAAACACTGTCCTGGAACCCGAGTTTGAACCACGAGCAAGCAGAGTCCCCAGGGAATGTCCCAGCCCCATGCACCCACCTGTGCGAGGACCACACGGGCCACCGGTTCCCCTCTGATCACCAGCAAAATGCCACTGGTGAAAGGGCAACCCAGCCGGGCGCTCGGAGGCCAGCTGCACCCCCCAACCCTGCGATGCTCTGGAGGGTCAGGGCGGACGCCTACCCGGCCCTCCCGCCCGCTGCGGGTGCCTGAGGCCCCTCACTCTCCCTCTGCTTACAGAGACTCGCGGCCATCCAGCAAGTGCTGAGCGCACAGAAGATCAGCTTCCTCCTGCGGGGCGGGGTCCGGGTCCTGGTGTCCGTGAGGGATGTGGACTCAGGTGAGCGCCCTGGACCACTCACCCCTCTCCACACCCTCCCAGCCGTCTTTCTGTACCTGTGGTCTTTCAGTAGTAGTTACCTGCTCACCCTTCCTCCGGGCGGGATGCTGGCCCAGGCGGGTGTGCTTCCGGCCTGGCCTGGGCTCGGCGTGCAGGGAGGGGCGGGCGTGCGTCTAGGCCCCTCAGCTGTACACACGCTCCTCCTGGCTGGGCGGCCAGACTCGGGCCGCGCCCTCCTCTGCAGAGGCCACATGGACTCGGATGTCAGGGGCCTCAGATGCTCTCTGCCCCCGCCTCCATGTGGGACTGTCCCCTCCGGTCACACGTGTGCCCTCTCCCCTTTGGGGGCAAGAATCCGCAGAAGCTGAAGAGCTTCTTTCTGCCCTAGAAAGACGTCATGTCGTGGAAGGGTCGGCAGGTCCCCCCATGCAGCACAGACATGGCAGAGGCCGCCTGTCCACTGTCCAGAAGGATGGACCAGGGCCGGCGGTCACTCAGCAGGAATCTGGGGGCCCAGGGCGGGGTTCCTCGTTCTGCACAGCCTGCCTGCCACCCTCAGCCACACCGGGAGGACCGGCCGGAGGATGTGGACTGCCTTCCCATCCAAGGAGGCCGGGGTGGGCGCCCAGGCCAGGCTGGGGACGAGCCACCCCCACGCTGACCACTAACAGCTGTTTCGTTGCAGATTCTCAGAGGCTGGGAGGGAACAGCAGCTACTGGGTGGTGGCCGTCCTCTTCGTCATCGGACTGTTCGTGGTGGCAGCCTTCATCCTCTACAAGTTCAAAAGGCAAGGCTACCTGGCCTCCCTCAGCAGGAAGGGGTGTGTTTGCGCCTGCAGCGGGCTGCGGGGAGAGGCGTGCGTCTGTTCCTGTTCCCCACCTCTGAATCTCGCTCGGGTCCCCAACACAATGAGCATCTTTCACCCCCACCCTCCTCTCTGCTCCCCCTTCCTTCAGGGAGCCCACTGTCATGTTACAGATGACGATAGAGGCTCAGAGAGGTTAAGTGACATGTCCAGGGCCACACAGCTGGGGAGCAGAAGAGTGAGGATCTGACTGCACATGGGGGTGGTCAGGGGCCCCGCTGGCGGCTTCGGGGGCAGGCGACCTGGGCAGAGCCCTGAGCGCCCCCTTGCCCTGCAGGAAGCGGCCCGGCAGGACCGTGTACGCCCAGATGTACAACGAGAAGGAGCAGGAAATGACGAGCCCCGTCGGCCACAGCCAGGGCGTCCAGAGCGCCATCCAGGGTGAGGAGTTTATAGATGATGAGCTGGACTCGCAGACTCTAGGTAACGCCCGCCCCGGAAACCCGCCCCTCCACCCTCCCACGGGGCCCCCCCGGCCGCCACGGCCAGCACAGCGCACAGGATGCGGGCCGGCCGACCATGCGGTGTGACCCCTCCATCTGACAAGGTGATGGGGCACCGGCCTGGCAGCCCCTGAACTCACAGAGGGTGGGGAGAGGACAGAGGGGGGCTGGCTCCCACGAGGAAGCAGGGACCTGTCCCCACGGTTGCCCCTCAATGCTCCCAGCCTCCTGCTCACCGGAAATGGTGATTTTGTAGGCATCGTGCTCAGGTCCAAGACCACCTGTGCACGGCACTTCACAGTTTACAAGGCATTCTCGTTAACGGGCTCTCGTTCATGCCAACCACGCCCAGTGCGGAGAACGCCAGCAAACACCCAGCTCTGTGTGTCACATCACCGCTAATTGCCGTGTCTTCTCACGGTTCTGAGGTGACCAGGCTCAGCCACGCGGCCCTCTCCGGGTCTGTCATGAGGTTGCCGTCGATGGCTGGAAAGGAGCCATCTCTAAGCTTCCTCACCCAGGTTTCTGGCGGTTCATGTGGACAGCCAGCCAAGCCCCCAGCTGGCTGTCCCCCCGAACGCCTGCCCGTGGCCGCCACGTGACGTGGGCTCCCTCACAGCCTGGCTGCCAGGTTCCCAGGGCAGCTAGCGAGGCAGTGGGAGGAGGCAGCACATCACCCCCATGACAGCCACTCACTGTCACCGGGTCCTGTCAGGAGGCACCCACAGAGCCTGTCCATCTTCAGGGGCAGGGGGCCTGAGTTGGGGTCCCCGGGCCCCTCGCACGGCCCACAGGACAGCTCCTCCTTTCCAGAAAGTGAACTGAGGCTCTGGGCATGTCGGGGATTCTCTCACTTCAAGCCCAGGAAACAGGCTGCTTTTCAGGGCTGAGGTCCCAGAGGCAGAGATGCACTGTCCTGGGTCACACGGCCGTGGGAGGGGCTGGAATTCAGACCCCCGGTGTCCCCTACCTCACCGGTTTCTGTCTGCGCCTGGGTGCGAGGTGACGGCATTGCTGTGAGGCCTGCAGGCCAGCAGCCAGCAGTGTGGCTGGAGAGGTCGTCCCGTTACTGCTGAGACAGTCCTCACACCCCGTGTGCTGTGTCCTCACAACTGTGAGACATCGAAGTCACTGTCCTCACGTCTCAGGTGATTGACAGTGAGGCTCAGAGGTGCAGGCCTCACCCGGGGCGCACAGCCGACACGTGGCTGACCTTGAACCCACACCCAGGTCAGCCGTGACCACACAGCCGTCTCTCCACGTCCCCTGGCCCAGATGTGTCCCTCAGGCACTGAGGTGTCTGTAGCCTCCCGGGACGTAATGACAGCAAATCCTGTTCCCTGGCACTCACGCCGGGCCAGGCCCAGGCTCAGTGCTTCCCCGACGTGGGCAGCTGACTGGTAAGGTGCCCGTCTGACGGACGAGCACGCTGACGTTCACAGTGGCCTCTCAGCGCCCAGGCACTTAGCCGATACGGGGAGCCAGTGCCAAGCCCAGCTCCGCGGCTCCAAAGCCAGTGCCCCCCAACTGCTGCAGGCTCACGCCATCACCCTGTGTGCCCCCCCATGGCTGCAGCCCCCAGGCTCACGCCATCACCCTGTGTGCCCCCCCAACTGCTGCAGGCTCACGCCATCACCCTGTGTGCCCCCCCCCACGGCTGCAGCCCCCAGGCTCGCGCCATCACCCTGTGCGCCCCCCCATGGCTGCAGCCCCCAGACTCACGCCATCACCCTGTGCGCCCACAGACCCCTCCACCAGGGCTCCCCACCCGGGGCAGGACTGTCAGTGTGTAGAGCTTGGGGTCATGCTCCCCCCGCCCTGATGCTGGCGGCATTACAGCCCCGTAGTGCGTCCTGCCTCTGGCAGCCGTTGGCTGCCAAGCTCCTGAGGAACAGGAACAGTGTGATGACAGCACATCGTCTTAATCGAGCCCTCAGGATGTGCCAGGCGCTGCCCCAGTCTTCAGGAACATTTTCCCTCAGAGCCCCCACTGTGGGCCCTGCAGGGAGGCACTGTTACCATCCCCGGGTTAACAGATGCCAAAACCCAGGCCGCTAGGTGACAACCTTGATGGGCCAGCAGTAAGGCCCGTGGCACTGTGCCGCCTGCAGCCTGGCTGGCACCAGAGCCCTCAGCCGCTTTCTGGGGGACAGAGCAGGTGCAGGGCCTGCCCACGCCAGCTCCTTCCTGCGGACCACACCTCTGTCCTCCGGTCTCCTAAGGAATTCCCCCCACCCCCAGCCTCCCAACTCAGCGCTGTTTCCGACCACTGTCCCTCACTGTCCCCCTCTCCTGCTGTGTCCCAGGGCCGTACCACATTGGGCCCCACAGTTCCCACTGCCGGGAGGGGGCACAGCCCCTCCTGCAGCCCCCTGCCGCCAATGACGAGGTCGGGGTGCAGCAGCTCACGGCCAGCCTTGGCTCACCTCCGGAGGCCTGTGGGGGCCACTGCTTGTGCCGACACCGGGAGAACCCACTCTCAGTCACCCACCAGGAGACGTGAGACCCCAGCACCTCCGCCTTGCGTTCCGGCATGACCCACATGGCCGAAGGAACTGCAGATGCCCACCGCACGTTGGCTCCATGGCACTGCTGAGGCCACCACTGTCCTGCATGGCCCCTTTCTCTCCTCTCTGCCCCTCCAGCAACGGGCCGGTGCTCACAGGTGGGCATGTCTGTTTCCTAGGGAACCACTCCGGCGTGGTCCTGAGCATCAACTCCCGGGAAATGCACAGCTACCTGGTGAGCTGATGCCCGTGGAGGCCCCAGCCCAGGACAGTCTCCTCTGTCGCTTCGTCCCCGTGGAGGGCACAGAACCACAGACGTGGCCGGCACTGGTGCTGAGACTGGCATCCTCTCAGAGACCTACGGAAAAGCCACCTCCAGCTGACCCCACGCGAGGCAACAGATGCGCCCCCGTCCACTTCCAGCCCACAGGACACATGGGGGACCAGCTGACCCCTGCCCTCCCCAGACGCCAGGCCCTCGGCACCACCCACGGCCCCCACCCTGACCGGGCACTCCCCTGCCCCTGGGCAGCTGGCCTGGCTGCCCCACACGCCACGGCCCAGCCCAGGGCCTGACCTCTGGCGGCCAGTGCTGGTCCCCCTGGGACAGAGAGCCGAGCGGCCCTCCCAGACGCAGACCCGCCCGGTCACGCTGCCCCGCAGGCTCCTGCGGCCGCACAGGGACACCGAGGGCCTGCTTTCTCCTCCGTAAGCCCCTCTCCAGAGGGGTGTACCCACCCCTGCATGGCCCTCTCTCTGCAGGGGGTCCACCCCCCAGAGTCCAGAAAGCTGTGACCCAGGCCCCCCACCAGCCCCTCCATGCCTCCTGCCCCCCCTTTTTAAACTGCGGATAATGTAAATACCTCTCCAGGTAGCTGGTTTTTATTTTTAACTTCTATTTTTATGGCCAGATGGTGCCATCTGGGTGGTTTTATCAGTGCCCCACTCACGGGCACCCCTTTTCCAGAATGCCCAGATCTGCCCCCTCTGCCTCTCCGGGAAGCATCTCTGCTCCCTGGCCCAGAAGGGCAAAGGCTGGCGGTGGCTTTCCCCCTGGCGGGGGCCACGGAAACCTGCACTTCCGCAGCCAGCCAGCAGGAGGCGCCCCGCCCCCCCCCACCCCTCCCGCAGGCCCGCCTGCGCCCAGCAGCTGTGGTGGGACCTGCCTATGGATGCGACGTTCGCTGTACTTCCTTATAGCTTCAGGGAGCCGTGTAGAAACCCAGGAACCAGAGAGGTTTTTGATTGGAGAGCCAGTAGGACCACCCAGGAGTGAGCCCCTCATTTTGAAGATAAACCAAGGCCCAGAGAGGGGGTGACTTTCCCAAGGTCACACAGCGAGAGAGCAGCAGAGGTGCCCCAGGAACCAGCCCTCTGCGCCCCGTGCAGTGCGATTCCACTCACACACGGACGCCTAGAATCAGGGACGTTAGCCTCAGGCTACACATACGAATATAGAGGGGGGAGTCTCACCTTTTGCCTTGAAACCAGAAGTCTCCCCCTCCCCCTGCCCACCCCAGGCGGGCCTCCCAGGCGGCCTGGCCTTTCCTGGAGGTGGGGGACACCGGAGGCCAGGCCGGGAACTGCTGGCCTGAACGAAGCCTGCGGGACATTAACCCGTCTTTCCTGTTGGGGGAGCGGAGGCCCAAGGGTGAGGCCTCGCACACAGAACAGCTCCCCAGCACTTGGGAGTGGGAGGTCCCTCAAGTCCAGGGTCCCCGTGTCACAAATGGGGACTTGGACCACAGGGAGGAAGGAGTCACTGGGCCAGGCAGTGGAAGTGTCCCTTTCCCCACCACTCCGGCCCACCAGCTAGGGCTCCTGGGTGCCCCCTCCAGAGGTCACCCTGCAAGTTGTCCTCAAGACCCTCCTTGGGGACAAGCTGGGCCCAGGGACCAGTGCGTGGAGCTGGCAAGGATGGTGTGGGAAAGGCCTGGGTTCCCCGGACCTTTGCCATGAGCCCCCCTTCCCCACCCAGCCCTCGTGCAGCCTCCAGAGACCCTAGGGGAGCCCTGCTCCGTCTCCCCCACCTGCCTGTCCCGTGAGTGTCAGACACAATCCAGGCCCAAGCTCAAGTCAGCATGGAGTCCTCCCCCCAACTCACCAGTGCCTGCGTAGCCACCCTTTCACCTTTGACCACTCGACTTCATTCTCTGCTGTTTGGGTAGGGTTCCCCCTAGTTATTTGAGTTTTTCTTCTATTTGGTGTCATTATTTCTATTAAGAATATTTTGGGTGTGTGGACCCAAGAACCTGGGAATAAGGTGGCATCTGATGTACCCCTATACTTTTCCATCCCCATAATCATATAGCTTGACACGTAGGTCCATGGGTTTATCTGGTTATACATTGGAGATTCTATATATTTGATGTACAGGCACATATAGGCCCCTGGGAGTGAACGCAACCGGCTCCGGGCAACTGAGGTTACATGCGACCCGGTGATGCCATACTTGGTATATGCACATAACAAAATGTGACAAATTCTATCTTATTTTTCCTTTTTAAAAATCAATAAATCATTTGTGATGCTTTTAACAAAAATTAAATGAATACGATCAGTCTTGGCCTCATTGTGAAGCTATTTCTCAACATTTCGCTAAAAGCACATGCGTGTACACACAGGCCTAGAATTGTGGTCCTGGCGGCCACGTGGCTGGGCACCGTGAGAGGAACCGGGAGCGCTACTGACCTGCCAGGAGAGGCTGCCGTGCCAGGAACCTTCTCGTCACTGGACCCAGAACACGCCACCTGCAAAGCAGTGCTGTCCCTGTCAGCTCCCAAAGCGCTCTCACCTGCTGCCTACTCCCCTCAAGGCCCGCAGGAAGGCCCAGAAGCGCCAGGCGAGCAGAAGCCAGGAGGCTGAGGGTCAGAAATGTGACACCTGACATAGCGCACTCCCAGAATCCAGAAGCGGGGCGTCCCCTTGTGCAGCAGAAAGTGTCACCAATACCAGTATCAAACCGGGGCACTGTGACCGCCGTGAGGGTGGAGACAAAGCCAAGAGCACGCCCCACTCACGCCTGAACACGGCTGGACCCAACCACAAACGGCCACATGTCCGTCTGTTCTGAGAAGAGCGAGGCCGCCTCTCCACCCGTCACTGCAATTACTGCGACGCCCAGTCATCACGTGTCCGCTTTCCTGACACCATCAGCCTGGCTTCCTCCGCAGACCACCTCCCATGTCCCACCCAACAATCAGACCTTCCCAGCACCCTCTAACCAAGCGCCCCCCACCCCCACCCCCGCCCCCGGGCTCCGGTCCCCATGTGTGCTCCCTCTGCACCCAGACTAACCCAGCCTGTTCAGCCACAGCTGTGCCTCTGGGTCTCAGGCTGGGGGCACTGGCAGTGCCCTGCATCCTTAAGTGGGCAGGGGTGGCCCTGGGGGAGTGACCAGTCTCTGTGCATGGGCAGTCACTGACCTGCTCGGTGACCAGCCTGCAGAAAAACCCACACCCCAAGCTCAGTTCCAATGAAAGAGGGGAGACAGCCCCGCACTGCCTATGTGGTGGGAGAGGGGCTCGGCAGCTGGAGCCCAGATTTCATTACACGGAAACATCCCATGAGCCCCACGTTGCTGGCGTGATCGCCAAGCGCTGCTGCTCCCACAGGACTGGGCGGCGAGGGCCAGTGCAGCCACTCCCAGCCTTGGCACGTGAGGCCCCGGGCCCTCGTCTCATCAGCCTGCTGCCTGCCAGCTCCAGGACTGAGCGTGCCAGCCCACGTTTTAATAACGCATGGCCAGAGCCCCCTGGCCTCTGCATCACGTTATAATTAGATTGTGTAATCACTGACAGGGCCGGGCTGGGGGGCACTTGGGCGGGACTCGCCCTGGCCCCGCGCTGGCAAACCAGGATCAGTCCCGTTGTTTGCAGCTGACGTGGTTATGGCCCAAATGTGCAGCTGTTAACGACCCACACACAGTATCCAGGCCAAGCGGGCGTTGGAGGGGCTGAGCCTGCCAGCACGGCGACCACAGGAGCTGAGCGCAGTGACGCTGACAGCCCCCTATTTAGTGTCCACCGTGTGTCAAGGTCAATGTGGGCACTTTTCCTGCAGTTCCATAAACCATGCTGACAGCAACCACGCAAAAGAGGTGCCACTGTCCCCATCCTGTAGTTGAGGGCGGTAAGGCGTGAGATATTGAGTCAGATTCAAGTGCACACCTCTGAGTGGCCAGACCCCCCCGCCCCTGCTCACCGTGCCTTCAGGAAGGGGGGCCACGCTGAGCCCCAGGAGTGAAGATGCTGCAAGAGGAAGGTGGTCACTGCTTTGGGGCTGCTGAAAAGGGGCGATGGGGACAGAAGGGGGTCTTCAGGGGAAGGTGAGGACAAATGCCCACTAGGAATGGGTCAAGGAAATCATGGATCTAGACAGTGTACCTCGTGATGCTTTCTAGAATTTTCTTGTGACTCCTAAGTAGAGAATTGGGGCAGTAGCTGGGTGAATGTGAGGATGGGGTGGTCTTGTGAAGACGGTGGTGTATGGATGGCGTGAGCACGTAGAGGAGGAGACAGATGGAGCAGGAGGGACCCCAAGAGTCAGCCCCAGGGGTGAGCAGAGGGGCTGGGCCGGGTGGGGGCAGGGCCTGCTCACCCCGGGGGACAGAAGCACCTGGGTTGGGAGCCTCTCTTCCAACTGCTCTGCGTTCTCAGGAAGTACCAGTGAGGCCAGTGCTGAGAGTGAGGAGAGGGCCGGGGACCAGGAGGTGGGGGGCTATCATCACGACAGTGAGAAAGACGACCAGCTCAGGCAGCTGCTGAAATTCCCGGCCGTGTGGAGGGCCACTGGAGATTTGGGTCACAGAGTTAGAGGGACACCTTTTGGTGGTTCCGTTTCTGCCAGCCACAGTCCACTGCTCAGGTTCAGGGGCACACGGGTGTCCTCAGGTCACAAAATGACTGCAGCAGCTCCAGACTGGGCTCTGATCAGGTCACGGGGCCACCCCAGAAGGAACCCCTAGAGCTCACTGTCTTAGTCTTGGGTCACATGCTCCTCCCCCTAAGCCAGAGGCAGGGCCACCACCTGTCCCTGAATTAGGGACAAAGAACCACCACAGAATGCTGCAGATACAAAAGTAAGCCCTGGGCCTGCAGCCTTCACCGCAGACGAGGGGAGGGCCCCGACCCAGCTCTGGGGGAGCACACACAGCAGCGGCCTGCTCGATCCCCGGGATTTGTCTGGGGCTGTGCACATCATGTTGCCTTCGAGACGCATGAAGGAAAGGATCCTATCCGCATCTAAAGAAGCGGTGAGCGGGGGACGGGACCAGCTTGTGAACCATGAAACACTCGGTCTGGAGGGAGTGCTCCTCTTTCAAGGTAAGTGACTGGGAGGCAAAGCGCAGCCCTGCCTGGGCCAGCGCCCAGCACCTGCCCGCAGCCCCCGCCCGCAGCCCCCCGCCTGCATCCGGGCGCAGCTGAGGGCTGCCCTGCAGACTCTGAGAGGGCGCGCTTTGTGGATAGGAGTTTGTCAAAAGGAGCCGGAGAAAATTCTAGAGATGATATGCGTTGTATCTTGATGGAAGATACACACCCTTTGAGACAGGACAGGAAAGTCCTCAGGCTGAGTGGGAGACAGGAGGGCAAAAACCTGAGCGGGTTACCATTTGCATTAAAGGCAATAAAACGCAGAACGCGGATGTGTCACAGCTCAAGGGACGGATGAGACATCTCTAAGATTAGCAAATGGGTGAGGGACAGAGGAGCCACAAGCTGTAAGAGACCAAGTAGCTTGGGAACAAGGAACAGACTGAGCCTGCAGACCAGACCTGCGAAGCTTCTAAGTGGAATACAGAGGACACTTACGAGGGGGAACTCGGCAGACCCGAGGCTTCTCTGCGGTTCCCGAGGCCGTTACAGAGAACGGCCAGGAAAAGTCTGTGACTCAGCGTCAGTCCAGGTGTCAGTCACTTGTGAAAGAAGTAGAAAGAGACATTTAGAGTTGTGTACCTTTTAAGAAAGAACAAAAACCTCAACATTATCCTCTTATTGACCAAGGGGTGAGTCAAAGCAAGCAGGCTTGTAATGGATACTTGGGGACGTAAGAATGAATCACGGTCCCATCAACACCACTAATAAATATTCATTGAAACATCAAGTGGAAACCAGGTTGAGTGAGCTGGCCCCCTGCATGCCCCACCACCTCCGCCGGACAGTTCTCCATGGTGGCGCTCAGAGCAGACGAGGTCCCGCCTGGAACCCTCCAGGGGCCGGAAACTCAATTCCTCCCGAAGCAGCGTCTGTGGGCTCCCCACCCGCCTGCACATGCACAGCCCCCACCCAGCAGAACCCCAGTTCCTTCAGCATCTGTCTGCTCTTCAGGGACCCTGGCTGCCTGCACAGGCAGGACCCATGGTGGCAGCCGGTCACGGCGCCCCCACTCCTCTGGGGGTGCAATTCTGGAAGGAGAGGTCAGCCGGGCTCTGGGAGAGGTCAGGTCACTCCTGGGGGACACTCGCAGGGAGGCCCGGGCCTGCTCTTCCCCTGGGTGCGGCTGTGCCTGGACTTGGGGTTGGGCCAGCTGTTCCTCGGCCCAACAAGAGGGATTCCAGGACGGCAGAGGCCGGATGGAAAGGACGCGGGTCCCTGCCGGCCATGGAGGTGCTGGCCGCTGGACTTCTGGCCAGGTGCTACCGTGGGCGGAGTGGGCCTCTTCTTCCTGGCAACCAAAAGCACCTGACCGACCCACTTCCCCTCAGCTGCCAAAGCCCTGCGTGATGCCCTCCCTCCTCCCGGTATGACCCTGGGGTTCAGACTCTGTCTGAACGCGGGGGGGGGGTTTCATCAGTATGGGGCACTTGCTGTTTATTCCTGCTTTTGTCTTTGTCGCCCCAATGACCCTCAAGAAGCAGGAACCACTGCGTCTAGGTCTAGTTCGTCATGGCTCCCCGGTGCCGAGAACAGCTCTTGGCAGAGCAGGTGTGCCAGGAGCGTGGCGTGAATGGCTGTGACCTAGCCGCGGGTCTGACCGGCTGGCTGTGAGCTCGGGGGAGCAGGTCTCATTCATCACGCTCCCGCGGCCCAGGGAAGCCGGACGCGCCTTTCCTACCGAAGGATCTGGGCCGAGAACTAGCATCGCGCTGGGCGAGCGGGGACGCTGTGCTCTCTCCTGGCGGCCTTTGGGGAGCTGGGGAAGGTCCCCGGGGTGGTGGGGACTCTGCCGAGCGCCTGCCAGGTGACAGATGGTGCTGGATGTTTTACACACCTCATCCCATTGAATTCTCACAATGAGCCTGCAAGACAGTTGTTATTCCCCCACTTCATGGGGGACGGAAATCAGAAAACAAGCCAGATTCAAAGCGGAGACTGGCGACCGCAGAGCCCATGCCCTTCCCACAGGGCTGGACCATTTCTTAACCACTGTGGGGGGCGGGGCCAACAGATCAGGAGGCGTGGCCACTGAGAAGGTAAGTTTGTTAAACTCACAGTTCCCAAGAGGAAGGGGCATGCTGCGCCACGCCGCGCCACGCCACGCCACGCGGGAGTGGGGGGCACACTGGGGTCCATCAGGAGGCAGAGGGAGGGAAAAACATGAATAAGGGCCTTTCTGGTGGTTTCCATGGGAAGCAGCAGACGAGGCCGGACAAGCAGTCTTAGGACTGGCTAGTCTGAATAACTTCAGTGACTCGGGGCAGAGGGCTGCCCTGGGTGTCCGGCACCTGCCCTGGGGGGATTAGGACGGGCACAGTGGCTCAGAGTGCATGGGCCCCGGGGAGCCCCACATGCAGGGGCCGGGGGTGTGGACTCTGGAGTGTTTTGCACGGGAAAGGGCTGCTCACAGGTGTCCTTTACTGTCCTAGGAAGCGGCCAACCCTGGGAAGGGCAGGCCAACCAGGGCAGCGAGGTCAGAATAGACAAGCCTGCAGCACGGGCAGCCCTCCCGCTCCGTGGCCGGCGGCCCTGAGGAGGGCAGCGGCCAGCTCTCAGCTGGGCACTGGCCCCCGGCCCCTGGGGATAGTTCCAGAGTAGACCAGTCCTGTCGGTGTTCAGGACCAGCTTGCAGTGGCCACCAGGTGAGCATACCTGCCCCGTTTCACTGAGTCATCACTCCTGCTGTGTTCCGACCCTACTTGGACCAACTGTTCCCTTCCTATGAGAAGGGAGCCATTTTTAACAGCAGCATAAACTTGAAGACGTGTCCATCACACAATCTGGGTTAGACAGCGTTTTCCCTGCTTCCCGTGACGGAGCTGGGCTCCTGGCTTAGGCTGCTGACGCTTCGTGTCGCCTGCTCCCCAGACCATAACTCCCATGATGAGTCGTCCGTGGTTTTAAAAAGCACAGCCAAGGGCTCTGGTGTCCTCTTGCTGAGGATTTAAGGCAAGAGCCACTTCCTTGTCATCTGGCAGCCTGCCAGGACACGACATGTTCGGGGCCCGAGGAGCCTCAGCTCAAAGCAGGCTTCATAAAGTGTTCACTGGGGAGCCCATCGCCTCCCCGGGACAGCGAGGCGGGGGCAGGGAGGCTGTCTTCTCGGTTTTTTCTTTCAGAGTGGCTTGTGGCTCTAAGAGCACTTGAAAACGACTTCCTGTCCTCTCAGGTGGCCTGGAAAGCTCATCTCACCTTCCGGCTTCAAGGTGGTTGCTTTATAGACAATAAAAAGGGACCCTTAATTATCTGTGACATGACCAGCCAACACCCCACCTCAAGCCACAGGGAGCACAGGCTTGGGGTAAAGGAGGCACACGGGGGTCATCTGGTCCTAGACCTTTGAAAGGTGGGTCTAGGTGAGCAGTCTGTCATGGGGACGTCCCTGGGTCCCACAGACACCCCGGTGCCCTGGACTCCAGGCCCTTCTCCTGTGATCTGACCTGGTCTCTCCGGCTTCTTGATCTGGAAGTCCTGCAGGCAGCAGGCCCGACGGGGCTCAAACCAACCTCCTGTGCTGCGCGCGCCCAGCCCGCCCAGCCGTGGCTCCTGTCAGGTGACAGGTCGGCCCAGCTGCCCACGTCACCGTCTGTGCAAGTCCTGGAAGCAGGGCCACCGCAAGGTGAGGTCTGAAGGAAAGAGCCAGCCACCGTGGGGTCTCCTTCGTCTGCTCTATCTGCCATCTCAGTCTGCCACACAGGGGCATGTGCACCTGTGGAAACTGGCACACCTGCTCCCCTGGGCACCACTGCAGAGTGGCCGTACAGGCCCGCCTTGGTCGTCATTGTGACTCATTCTCATGGCACCAGGCCCCAAACCAGAAATCTGGCCACCCCTCCCACATGAAAGCCTTCCCCGGACTCCAACCCGCTCTGGACTCAGGTGCACCTTCCTCCCGGGTCCGGATCCGGGTCCCAGGTCCCCGCCTGCCTGCCTCTGTCCCGGTGGCTCACGTTCTCACCCTCCACCTTCCACTCCTGCTGGTGCCTCCCATGGGACATGTTCTCTCTCTTCTCGCTGAACTCCTATTTAAACACCACGACGCAGCTCAATACCCGCCCCTCTTGCAAACCCGCCCCAACTGCCTCAAAGGCAGCTGCTCCTTCTCCCATGGCTCCGTTAAGTCCCCATCCAACAGAGCACACTGGGTCACCCATCTATGTGAGTGAGCTCCGAGAGCACGTCACACCTGATGCATCCCTGTTTCCAGTACCTGGCACAGAGCCTGACACTTAGCAGGTGCACAATCATTTCTTGAATTGAATATTTGGGTCTGTGGACTAAAAGCCACTTAAAAACAAACAAACAAACAAAACCCCCACTGTGGTTCTTGCATGAAAGCAGAGGATTCTTGCTGATAGAAACAAAGCTATCCCCCTCCTCTCCCTTCGCCAGTTACTGCTTACCCACGACACCCGTCAAACTGCATCTAGTCGGCAGGAATGAAGGCTGTGAGAAGCAGCCCCGTCTGCACCACAAACCAAGTCGGTCAAGGCAAGGAGGCCTGGTTGGAAGAGTTTTATTAATAATACAGAAATGAGTCACGCCGCAGGGCGCCAGTCTGTGGGCTACACCGTGGAAAACAGTAGAAAAATCCCTTAGTAAAGAAGTTCAAGTGAGGTGACTACAAAATGGGGCAAATGGACGGAGGACTACTATTTCCATTGCAGGTTTCTTCTGATAAAATTTTTCATTTTATGAATTAAATACATTGCGAAACACAGTGAAAACATATTTACAGTCATTTAAAATGGGCACTGCCGACATATTTAATTTAAAAAAATCCTGTTTCCTGCCTGCTTCTTTCAAAGAGAATTTTAAATATGACTTTAGTTTTTAAAAAATACAATAAGGAAATAATTACATTCTTAATATGAAAACATATTACAATGTATAGCTACGGTCACTTAATGATGAAGACCTGTAATTTAAAAGTTGATGTTAAAATTTAAGCATCCCTTCTCGTCAGAAAATCAAATACAAAGATTATAAAAACACCTTTGGTCCCTAAGAATTATGATCTGATGAGCCCATTTTGAAAACGTCTCCCATGGCGTCAAGTAGAGCTACCTGGTCACGCTTGTGCACCCTAAAAGTAAGCTTTTCTAACGGGCAGTGCTCCACGAGAGGCGGGCAAACGGGTGCGTCTGAATGCAGCCACAGCTCCCCGAAGACAAGCTGTCCTGCCTCCCACTCAACGAGCTGTCGCTCTTTCTGCGATGCGGGGCTGTGTGTGTGTGTATGGCACAAAACTTTTAGTTTATTTCACAGTATCAAGCTAGCCCATCATGGGGATAATAATGAGACAGCAATAACAGGAACAAAGAAATACTGATAATTGCCCTCCTTAAAACCATGCCATGATTTGAAATTATCTTCCCCGTTAACAATTATTTTAGGAAAAAGGAGGAAGGCAATAGTGTAACATTTCAATGGCGCTGTGGCCTTTACGTAAAGGGAGCAGCATCTGCCTAGACTTCCGGTGGTCGTGCTCCTGGAAGAGGCTATTTGTAAGGGTCAGCACAGGCGGGATGGTGGTCAGCCACCTGCCAGCTGCGCCAGGCAGAGAGGTGACACCACCAGTTTCTCTGGTGACAGAGGCATCGCCTGAGTGGGCCCAACCAGCCGCTCATCCTCAGGAGGTTCCTATCCCATGACTTGGTGAATAAGCAGAGAACAATGCCTGTGGGCTGGGTCGGTGGGCCAGTTCACATTTGCCCCAAACAGCTGCTGACAGTTAACACTCCTTCTGGCAAGAAGAGGTGTGGAATGAGTCTCCCAGGCCCCACAGCCCACCCGCAGCCTCACAGCTGTCCCCTTGGAAACCTGCACAAAAGTTCCAAACTGTCGCGCGATGAAAGCGAACCTGCATCTCCTTCCTGGGGCTGCCTTCAGGGCCTAGGACACACATTTTGAAACAGACTTTGCAAAAAGTGGCAACCTCCGACCTCTCCCGAGTGGCTTAGGGTTTTTAGAACAGCCAGAAACAGCTCCGGACAAGTGAGGTGGACGAGGTAAAGGCCAGGCCTGGCCACCTTGAGGGCACCCACAGGGGGACAAGACTGGCTTCGCCCTACAGCCTAATGTCACCAGAGTCCTCCCAAGAGGAGACCTTGGGAAGATCTGTGTGCGAGAGGCCTCGCCCTCTGGACGCTGAGTCTGGCATCTGGGCCCAGTCATTCCCCAGCCCCACTCAGGTCACCCTGCGGGTGGTGGAACCGTCCTGAGGCTGGACAAGGCCTGCTGGCTTCTGTGCCCCCCACAGCTGGGCCCCGCCTGACCCTCTACAGACTCTGGGCAGAGGGGGAGCAAATGCTTCCGCCTGTGCCCATGGCACTGGTGACACCGTGAGCCCTTCCCCATCACCGTTTTTGTGCAAAAGGTTGGTGGAGGAGTTAAAAACATTATAAAAATATAAAAGTGGAGGGGACTTCGAAGGTTGATGGCACCTTACCAGCAAGAAGCCAGAAGCAGACCCCTGAGGCTGACAGCGTGGCTCCACGTTCTAGTGGGGAGGCCGGGGCAGGGCCGCGCATGCGAGCCCCTCCGTGTGGCGCCACGGTCTTCCCACTGTTGGTCAGGATCTCTGTGAACATGACTAACTGTTAAGGGAACAGGTGACACTTCCAAAGGAATCTGCCTTCTCCCTGCAGAGCGTGACCTGCGCCCCAGTAGCGAGGGACTGGGGTCAGGCGCTCCCCCACCCACCGGCTCCATCCATGTCTCGGGGCCTCCCCAGGGGCAGGGGGCACCCCTGGGGCCCGGTTTGGGAGGGTAATAAAACAAGGTCATTGTCAGGATCCTGACAAGATGTCTAATGTGTGTCTAATATATACAGATATAAATTAAAAACTATACTGAACATATACAAATAAATAACTTATTTTGAAGCAAGTGCTTTAAACTAACTTTCCGATCAAATCTAAAAACATGGAGGGAACATATGCTATCAGCAGCCTTGTCCTCATGGGGCCCATTTTAAACAGCTCCCTGGAACCCAACAGGATTTAAGTTCACCGTCCTCTTTAAAAAGCCTATGGTATGAAAGTGAATTAAAACCCGGGGCTTGAGAAACACAAAACATGTAGCCAGAAGTCTACAGACCAGGCCCCAGACCTGACCGGCTGCGTCCTTGCCCGGCCCAGGAAGGCAATGGGCGAGGTGCGCTGAGGCTGCCCCGCTGATGGTCTACCCGCCGCCTGAGTGCTGCCCACCTCCGCCGGGCTGAGGTGGAGAACACAGGCTGCCAGGGTCTCCTTTCCTAGAACAGTTGAGCCTGGCAGTTCTCTGGGCTGAGCTGGCTGCCCACAAAAGGGCCCGAGAGCCTTAACTGGGGGAACAGTGCTGGACCCGCAGGCAGCAGAGAACTAGGGGAGAGCAACCCTTCTCCCTTCACAAAAAAGGAGCTGCACAGGCGCAGTGGGCCAGCTTCCTACCGGACAGAGGGACTCGGGGAGGAACAGGCCCCACCCAGCACTGGCGGGAAGAGGGCCTGAGGCTTTGGCAGGCTCCCTCCCAGCCTCCTGCTCGGGGTTGCTGGGGTCAACCATGCCCCGTGCTGGTGGGGTGTGCCTCAGCCTGCTAACCTGTGGGTGTCAGTGACAGTGCCAGGTGACAGCCCATGAACCACAGATGCTCCTGGCACATGGCTTTGCAATAAATTCAAGTTTCAGGTGGACTCCAGTTAAACAGCTTCCGATTCCTGTTGGAAAACTGCCTCCTGCACCAGAGACTGGCCTACTTTCCTGGCCTAGTCAGTAAAATCGAATACGGCCCGTGCAGACAGATGGCCATGGCGCAAAACCAGCCCTGACCACAGCGCCTGCAGAAGGGGTGGCAGCCCGGGATGTGCTGAGAAGGCAGGACGTCTGGACAAGGACAGCCGTCTTGGGGGGCAGGCCAGGCGCGCCTCACCACGGCTCCACGTTTCGGCAGCAAAAGCCCTCCACACGGGCCCTGCTCCAATGCATGGGTCTGCAGAAGGCGCTGGGGTGCCTGACCCTTAGTTCCTGATTAGTGACTGCACCTTCGTAACAATTCCTGAGACCGTCCCTGGAGACAAAGAAGAAGTGTGGCTCTGAGGCCCACAGAGTAGAAGCTAGCTCTCTCTGTCCCCTTTAGGCCTCAGCGCCTGGTCACCCCAAGAAAGGCCACACAGGAGGCAAACAGGAAAAGTGACAAGCCGATGAGGCCCGTGTGTCCAGAGAGGAGGATGGCACCCAAGTCCACAGACACGTGCGTGGCTTTGATCTGCAAACTGGAGGCAGCGGGTGCAGGGGACTAGGAGCTCGCTCTGTTTCTCTCGAAGTCCTTCTCGTGCGCCGCGGTGCTATGGGTCTGTAACTGTACAACTTGCAGAACCTGCTTCCTTTGCAAGGGATGGACCCACCCAATTAGTAAGCGTCCTGGGAAGGGAAGTCTAACCGTGACCCGTGAGGCTGCCCAGCTGAGGACCCCGTTGGCTCTGCAGCGGGAGAGACGCCAGGTCATTGGAAATGGGGGAAGGACACACATCAGTGAAGTATCAGAAACCCTCGCTGCCTTTCCAAAGCAGCACAGATCATTAATAAGACATCATACAGAATCTCGAAAAACCCCTTATTGCTAAGTGCGGCACATGATTAAAAGAGAACATTTTTTAAAAGTTTAAAAAGAATGGCAGCTTTTCTTGTCCTGGTGACAAAAGCATCTGTCCAGAAAAAAAAAAATTAAAAGGTAAAAACTGCGGTCACAGCACAATTCCTCTAGGGACGAGGAGGCGGGTGTGTGGGGAGGGGCCGCAGAGACACTAGCGGTTTGTGCCATTTGCATCACAGCTACGAGCATCCGGGCCCCCTGGCAGAGGGGCAGGGCAGTCCCAGCACCCACCTCCGCTGGTGACACTCACTGGAGAGGCCAGGCCGAGGGCTCGGGACCCGCTCACCCACGCCCCATGTAGGGTTGTGCCCAGGGCGCGCAGCCCCGTTCACCTTCAGTCTGGGGTTGGGTTCACACTGCTTAAAGCCATCACTTCACTGGGTGAAAAGATGGAATTTCTCCACCTGCCATAGGATTCTTGTACAATACCTTTCATCCCTTTTTGTTTTTTAACAAATAAAGTTGGAAACCAAAACGTTACAGGTCAATTTCTTTAAAGAACACCATTATACAGTAGAAAGAATACACATGAGCCGGGTCTGGGGACGGCCTTGGGGCTCAGTCACAAACCCCGTGTCCTGCCGCGGGAGCCACGTGGGCACAGCTTCCTGCGGGGGCATCCGGGCGGCAACGCCTGCTGGCGCTGGGCGCTCCCGCCCCTCCTCTATGTCCCGTTCTTCAGCTCCCATTCCTGACAAGGGAAGTGAGGGCGAGAGTTAGATCAGAATGGCCAGGGGTCCTGAGACAAGTGACGCTACACCCCACCAATGTCTGTGACCTACAAAGTATGAGAGGCGGTGCGGCGGTTCCTTAGACAATAAACAGAATCCCCATTCGATCCCAAACTTAGCGCAGCGGGAGTCCTGCCCAGGACTCTGATTAGATCAAAGGGGAAAACGTGTGTGGAAGTCCCCGCCACGCGGCCTGGTCACCGAGCAGGGTCTTCCCCTCCAGCCTCGGCACACCGTGGACAGTTGGTGCTGCTCTGATGCAAACGCATGACTCCGACCTCATGCCCTGGGGTTTCCTAACGGGGCCATGAGTGCACCACACACCTTCACATATTGTATAAAACTAAGAATGTCTCACCTTTTCTAGAATCAAAAGTTCAAGTGCAGTGAACGGTTAAAAACACGTTATTAGCACATGTGGCAGAAACCAAACCAAAATAGAGCTACCCAACCACCTGCGAGCACTCTGGGCACGTGTTCTGCAGAGAGGAGGACAAGGCATATGGGGTCTTGTCTCCTTCCTCAGTCCCCCTGGGACAACCATGTGGGCTGCTGTCAGCAGAGGAGACGCTGGGAGGATGAGCCACGAGACCAGCACTAACTGGCAGTCTCTGCCCAGCTCACCAAGCTACGGTACTGCCGAGGGCAGAGAGAGGGCAGACTGCCACCTGCAGATGCTGCCAGTGCTCAAAGGTGATACAAGCGCCAAGCACAGGCCACACTGGCCACTTAGCAGAGAACCAGGTGGGGAGCTCCAGGGACACTGCCCAGACAGGAGGCCCCGGCAGCGCAGTTTGATGGCTGGCGGGGCGCACAATCTGGGGGACAGCCCAGCGCCGACGCCTTTGGAAATGGCTCTCACACGCAGCTCTGACCGCACGGCCGCAGCCCCTGTGCCTGGGTGTCCAGAGCTCTGTCAGCACACAGCTTTCCCAGGCTGAGTGGGGAGAGATGCTGGGCCTGCAGGTGGGCGTTGTGGCCACCTCTGAGCCCCTTCTCAACTAGGAACCCGACAGGTAACTCGAAACCATCTGACTCGCCAAGAGCGCGTGCTGTCTCATGCTCAGAGCACCCTTAGCAGGAATTGGAAGTATTTTCCGGATACTGCCTGGGATAACATGTTTGGGCCCAGAATGCGTCGGACCAGTCTGGTCCTCCGGACAAGGAGGGGCGGGCAGATGAGACCATGTGTGCGAGGCACCGACAAGTGGGTTACAGTTCCCAGAGTCAAAAGGCCACACTGCCACCCCTTCCTGCAGCCATGGTCCCTTGTCACTATTTTCAGGAATCTGGGAACCCCCCTCCGCCCAATCCCATTCTTTTAGAGAGGCTGCAGGCAAGCCTCCTCCTGGCTGCTTCCTCAGCGTCGTCTGCCTGTGGGAGCAGAGACCGCCGTTCCCCCGTTGAGTGTGGGCCGTTGAGTGTGGGCCGGTCTGCAGGCCAGCTGTGCACCTGATCTGGCTGTGATCACAGGTTTTGCGTTTATCGTCACAAAGCCGCAGGAGCTGGAGTGCCCGGGCCTCTGCAGCCTCTGCATGGAGCGAGCACAGCCAGTAAAGGCAGCCCTTCCGGAGGCTTCATTTGCATAATTGTAAGTCTGATTTCCGTGACAGTAAAGAACCAAATAACTGGAATACTTTTACTGCATTGCTCATCTGCAAATCTTTAGGGGATTTTATTGGGCAGCTTAATTCTAAGTAAAAACATAGCCCCCTGTAAATGAGCTCAACAGTTACAAACCAAGAACACTTCATGGATGCTGAAAAGTCACAGAATGACGCCCAAATATCCTTTTTTTCCCAAACTTTACCAACCCACAGTCTTCAGTCCAACTCATCTGCTGTGAAGGACTGATACTCTAGGGTGCGGGTCACCAGGGACCCTCCTGTGAATACATCAAGTGTAGCAAGCAGCTGACATTCGCTTTCTTATCTAACACCAGACCCACCTTGCAAAAAATAATATATTTTTAGCCAATTTGGAATGGGTTCCAGAGCTGCCAGAGAGCAAAAGTAATGACAGCAATTAGAGGCCCCAGAGGCAGCGAAGGGAGAATGTCTAGCCTCCATGTTCGCCAGAACAAATTAAATTCAAGTGGATAAATTAACGCCATTGTACAAGTATGATTTTTCTCATATGACATGCTTTTGGTTACTGCTATCAACATAAACTATGTTACTTGGATAAACTATAAGTAGTTTTAAAATCTGAGATTTTTAAGTTTAGCACCAAAAATTGTTAGTGGCTGCTCGCACCAGAAGACTGGAAGATACTGCAGGATAGGTCTAAGAGGTTCCCCTGCACCTAAGATGACTGACTGACAAGGCTGGGGGGGCAGGAGAGAACTGGAGAAGACTGTCTCCAAGCTCTGCCTCCCCAGTGAGAAACGACGTCAGGAGAAGCTGGGAGTCCTGCCCACGCCTGAGACAGAAGCAGAACAGCTGCCTTTCCTGACACTAGATGGTAAACGCCTTTGGGAAGCACTGGTCCTTTGCACCTTTGAAAAGGATGCCTGGAGGGGGGGGTCTGACTGTTGGCAGGACTCGGAAAACATTCAGAAATGGCATCTAATGGGAGGTGCAGGACTCTTTCAAACCTCCCGCAAGAGCCTGAAGCTGGAGTGCCTGCAATATGCCTGCACCAGCCCCTCCATCATCCTGCGCCCCCTCATCAGCCCACGCCCCCCCATCAGCCTGCACCATCCCCCCATCAGCCCGTACCCCCCCATCAGCCTGCACCCCCATCAGCCTGCGCCCCCATCAGCCTGCACCCCCCATCAGCCTGCGCCCCCCCATCAGCCTGCACCCCCATCAGCCTGTGCCCCCATCAGCCTGCACCCCCCATCAGCCTGCGCCCCTCCATCAGCCTGCACCCCCATATCAGTGCTGGTGTACCCTGAAAGCACGAGGAGTGGGGGGGCTGACCTTGGCCTTCCGGAGCACGTGCCCCCGGCAGGGGGAGCTGCCGGCCGGCTGGCTCTTCTTCAGGACGGCTGCGCTGTTCACAGGCACCGGGCCCTCGGCGTCACTGGTCTCACAGCTGGACAGGGGCGAGTTCTCCAGAGTCCGGTGCCTGAAGACTGGGGACTAGTAACACAGAGGACCCCGTGTGAGGGAGCTTTCCAGGCTGAGACCACTTCCCAGCAGGAAGCGGTTTATTTTACAGAAAACAATGGGTTTTGGAAATAGGCAAAAAGAATGATAACAATAATAAGGACCACTATATATATATATATATATATATATATATATATATATATATATATATATATATATATATATATATATGACTCTAAGAGCAACTCTTTTATGCACCCATTTTACAGAAAGAAAGACCGAGTGAGGCAGCTCACGGCTAGGAGGTGGGGAAGGAGGGGCTGACGGCCATATCCCCTGCATCCAGCCCCATCCTGCAGCCTCCGATGTGTCCACGTGCACAGAGCTTTTTAATTTCCAAGAGGCCTTACGTCCGCAGCCACCCGCGACATGCAGGCTGCAGAAACGCCGGTGACCATAACCAGCGGCAGCCTGGGGCCTGAGCTCACGGAACCCTGTCGATGCAGCTGGGCTCCCTGAAGCGGCCCAAGCACAGATCAACACGGAGGTTTCTGACAGCTCACAGCACAGTGCGCATACGCCAAAGGAAGGCGTGTTCTGGGGGACCGAAAATGCAACCGCATGTCCCTTCTGGTGCCCGGACCCCGACCCTCAGTCCTTCCTTGGGGGTTTCCTGGGGAAGAGGTAGCAATCAGCCCTGACTACCCACAGGAGGGCTCCAAGGAAAACACCTGCAGTTGTTCCTGAGTGATGTGACACATACGCCCATTGGCCAGGTCACACGGCACGCTGTTCTAGGAGAACAGTGCTTCGAGTCCCATTAGAACAGGCCACTTAGAGTCCCCTGTGGGGCTGCTGCCATGTCTGGTTTACTCGGCAGTGTTGGCTGAGAAGAGCGGGGGATGGGGTGCTTGGGAAAAAGGAAATAGGAACACCATCTCTCTCCGGGGGAGGCTAGGCAGCATGTGACACTCCTCTGGGACGTGTCCCTCTAACAAGCCGCTATTCCGAGGACCTCATCTGGGCAGGAATGACACAGAGAACTGCGACGCTGGGCAATGATGGCAGCCCGTGTCCAGGGAGAGGGCCTGAAAGGAGAGGAGGCAAGCTCATGGTCTGAGCATGCGAGCTCCATCACAGCGGCCCTACGCCTTCAGAAGGACATGCCCGGCTACCTGGGCCCAAAGAGAGAAGAGCAGATGAGAGAGGGCCAAGGGGCACTCCTGAGAGACAGGAAAGACCCCAGGAAAACGTGGGTCACTGCACCTTGATAAAAGCAGGCTCAGCAGGGAGCCGAGCCACAGAGAGTGAAGTGAGCAGGCTGAACTGGGCACCCTGAGTACAGACCGCTGTTTCCAGTTTAATCCGAAAGGGAAGGTATGAAACACAGGACAGGAACTGGAGGGGAGTGTGGGACCAAGGCAAAATCCTTTTTTTTTTTTAAATTTTTTTTTTTTAAGATTTTATTGGGGAATTGGGGAAGGGGAACAGCCAAGTTGTTGTCCTTCAGTCTTAGTTGTGGAGGGCGCA